AGGAGGAACAATAATGTGGGGTTTCGCAATCCTAGTCCAGTTTTTCACCGGCTGTTCAGCCATGTTAGCAGACACAAGAATGGCTTATGCCTTCGCCCGTGACGAAGCTCTCCCATTTTCCTCGTACGTATCCTCTTAAAAAAAAATGCTGGGTGGCGGAAAATGAGGCTCCTAATACATGAACATCCAGAACCCTCTCCAAAGTAAATAAATACACCCACACGCCGGTCAACGCCGTGTGGTTCGTCGTCTTCTTCAGCATCTGCCTAAACTGCATTGCCATCGGCTCGACCGAGACCGCCACCGCAATCTTCAGCATCACTGCTCCGGCACTCGATATATCCTACATATCCGTGATCTTAGCGCACAGGATCTATAGGAACAGAGTCAAGTTCATCGAGGGGCCCTTCACTTTGGGAAAATGGGGCCCATATATCAACTGGGTGTCTGTGATCTGGGTGCTGTTTATCAGTGCGGTGTTATTTTTCCCGCCTCGTGTGCCTATCACAGTTGCTAACATGTAAGTTGCATCTTCTTTGTGTCTGGTGCCGGTGTTGCGCTTGGGAACAATACATGAGTCATTATATGGGTGTTGATTGACCTGGTTACTAGGAATTACGGTATATGTGTTGGTGCATTCATTGCCGCTTTTGCTTTGGTATGGTGGTGGGTTGCTGCACGGGGGTAAGTGAAAATTTCTTTTCTTTCGCACTTGGTCATGAATTGGGATAGGAGGCTGACATATGTGCCTTTGGTTAGGATATATACGGGGCCTCGAACGGACGATCACATTCAGGAGGTATCTACTGAGGATTTGGGTAGTGGCTATGGGGCGGTCGATGTTGCTTATTCTACGTCCCTTCAGTAATTAGACAGGTTTACAAAAGGTTATATTCGCATTTCATTTGGCGGTGGGATTGGGTTTTGATTCTCTATATTTGCTATGGCGGAACAATGTCCATTTTCGGGGTCTCCAACTGCCTCAAATTGTTATAGGTATAGGTATAATGTTTAGTTTACAGTTAATTACCCGCAACAACAGCAAGTCCCTCGTAAATCTTCCTCTTCACGTCAAGGAAGCTCCCCGCCCCACGTCCTACAGCAGCAGCTGATTGAGCCGTAGCTTCAATCTCAATCTTCCCTGTACCTGATTTACGGACGGCGACCATCCGGTCAATGAGAAGCGTTCCTTCACCACGGAACTCAGCTGTGTGGCCGGCTCCCTGCATGATCTTGCGGAGATCCGCCAGTCGCAGATCACCCACGTGGAGAGGGCGAGTCATAGATCTCGTTCCTGCTGCCATATTGGCAGGAAGTATATCAAGCACTGGATAGACATCAGACTTGTCTGCGGTGGGTTTCGTGCTGTCGACGGTAGGTGCCGTAGCTTGTGAGCTGGCCTCTTCCTGCAATAATTTTTGCTTTTTACTTGGGGAGTCCGCTGCGTCTTCTGGCGTGTTCAATTCAGGACCCCTCAATTGTGCAGTCAATGTCACCACACCGAGACTACGGACATGCTGCCATTTCAGGCGCCGGACGAGACTGTTGCTCAACTTGACCATCCAGGCGTTCGTATCAACGCTAGCATCAATAACTTCCCCAATAGCCGGGGTGTAAATTACAGCAGAGTCTGCAGCGGAGACATCAACTCCAGCCTTGGCCGCGAGGAGCTTCTTGCACTCTGTTGCGAGCGCTGTAGTCTCTTCCTTCATCCCGCCCACTAGAATCAGTTTGCGTGGCTGAATAAGCGGAATCAGCATCTCCAGGCTTCGCTTATCGTGTAATCCCGTAAAGTCCACGAAAGCGATGCGAGCATTGATAGTGAGACTAGCCTTCTGATAGACCGCTTTTGCGGGCCCCTCGAACGTCTGACTAACCGCTTCTTCTTCTGACTCCAGGGCAGCATCAGCACCTTCTCCATCCTCTGTCATACTCATATCGTCCGCTGTGCTGGCGTCCTTCTTTCCAGGAAGTTGCTGGCGTTTGGCCCCGCTGCTAGACAGCCGACGACCCCCCGGTCCTGTTTCATCCCATCGTCGTTTCTGACCAAGCTTGGTTTGAGAGTCAGATCTGCGCTGTTGCATGTCGATCTCTTCACGCTCTTCTGCTCGTAAGTATTCCTCTGGTCGGATAAATTCTCCATACTCGTCTCCCTTTTTTCTTGGTGCTACATATGGGAACATTCGTTCGCGGCCCTTCTTGCCCCGGACATCCCAGTCAAACACGTTCTTCCGCCGTAAAAGGATATTGACACCAAGGTCTTCATCGCTGAGACCGAGCTTGTTGCGATTGGAGTGAGCTAATGAAGTTGAGAAGTTCAGGACTCGCCCCTGCTGTTCTGTCTCGGAGTCTTCGGATGTGGAACTAGATCGATCATCAAGCGCATCCGCTGCATTATCTAAGTTTTCCTGCCCCCTTGCTTGGGAGGTATCTTGTAATTGTCTCTTTGTGGCGAGATACTGTTGATAGAGTAGTTGTTCGCCAGGGTCTAGAGGTGCACGGTGCACGTCTGACCAGGAGAGCTCTCGACCACCGCTATGAACCTGTTCAATCATCTCGCCATCGGAGGACTTTTCCAGTGCGACACCATCTTTCCTTTCTTCATACCATTCCCAGATCATATTACCCAGAGTCTTCCGATAAGGATCTTCCTGGTTGTCAGCAAGCCTCTCCTTATGAAAAGACTCCGTGAGTAAGAGAAGATTGTTCGGGCCCCCCGCTACCAGACGGAGAGATTCCTTTGCAAAACCCCAATCCAGTGACGTGTCGGAAGCCAAAATGACTTTGGGCGTCTGGTCATTCAAGATCTTCTCCAACTTCTTTTTCCTCTCAACAATTTTCAGGTGTTTGAAAGTAAAAGGACCAGTGCCCTTCTCTTCTTTGCCTTGGTTTTGGCCAGAACGTTGACCACCAGGATTAGTTCGAGATTGGCCCGTAGCCGCATCTACACCTTCCGCAGCCTCGAACTCTCGCACAATATTCTCGTCCATCCATTCTAGCATACTCCGGGCTAACCTCATCGTCGTGTTAGCCTTCCTACCTGCGAGGTATAATCCAGCCTCCTTTAGCACACTATCCTCTTGTCCCGTTCCAGCAGCGTCGCGCCACGCATGCTCCAGTGCATATGCCAGTTCCAAAACTCGAGCACTAGTATCAGTGGGAATCAGAACAGTGCCTCCTTTGGCCAGTGTACTCCGAATCATATCCAATAGCAAGTCATCCCGCTTTTTTCGTCCTCCTGGAAGGGCAAACTTGTCACCTCCTCTTGTACTGCAAACCAACGCGGTGGGTTTGCGCAATTGCTCTATGACCTCCGTTCCACTGGCGCCTGACCCGCCGAACCATGCAGCACCTGCCATTACACTCTCTCGTGCTTGGTTCCAGTCGACAGCGTAAACGATAGATTCCATGCCATGCTGTATATGCCATATTGTTCCTCCCACCGTGTGTCCAGCATTGTAAGCCGTGAGCGTAAGGCCGTTCAGTGGAGGAGAAAAAGGGGAAGGAAGTGGTTGGTGTGGTTGCGAGTACTTTAAGGGATGGATCAGGGAGAAGTATCTCGCAATTTCCTCTGCGGTTGGAGGTTGAAGGAGGATTCTTCCGGAATGAGTAGCATCAGCGCCTCCTTCACCTTCTGGCGCGGATGCTGCGGCAGATGCTGCAGCAGTAGATGCGCCCGGCTCCGAGATCGAGGCTTTGGGTAGGAAGGTTGCAGCTAGTGGTGAGGAGGCGTACAGGTCCTGCAGCAGTGTGCGACCAAGCGCAATAACGGGGCTCGTGGCGTAGACGGGAATCTGAGTAAATAGAGGGAAGGTCTTGCAGCAATGGGCGAAGGCACCAATATGCGCAGGTGTAGCGTGGGTCAGAAGGATTAATGAAAGGGTAGGAACATGTCTAGCACAAATCAATCAGACTAAGGATTATTGAGAAAGAAGACAAGCTAGCTAGCTGTCTTGTCATCATATAAAGGAGCTTACTTTTCTAGTTCCTGCAAATCCAGAGGATCAAAGGTATCGTCCCAGCCGACGTCCACAAGGATCTTAATTCCACCATCCAGCTCTAAGATTGACTGAGAAGCCGCCGAGGAGGACGACTGTGCGCCAAGCAAAGGTGTGAACGTAAACATCTTTGCAGTTTTTGGCGTCGCTCATCGGCCAGCCTCGAAAGTTGGCGACGGAGTTGGATTTGTCTCGGACACTTAGCAGTGCAGCGCTTCCAATCGAGGCATCAATCCAAATACAAGAACTGTCAAGGCTATTAGACTTCAATTATAACATCATGTCTCTCCTCCCTTAGAAATGGATTAAAACTCAAGGCATTATGGAGGAATCGTGTTATTGACGTGAGTTCCGATGAAGCATTGCGGATCCGGTGTTTGTCTTGTTTGCAACTTTTATATTCACATGACCTGGTGTATTCAATCAATGTAAAGATCGTATACTCCATACAAGTCTCCACTATATACTTTCCTACAGTCCCTTGAGACTCTCACGATTGCTCATCACCTTTCTGCTACCTGACTGCTATCCACAGGCTTACTAGTTCACACATTACTACAACACCAGGCTCAGGAACACGATATAGTACACGGACATCCATAAGAAATGAAGGAGGGACAGTCTATAAGTAACTAGAACAATGCTTGAAATCGGTAGAAGTATATAATGCCTTGGCGGCTGAGCCCTCATATCTATTATTCGAGCCAGGACGCAGTACTGTGGACAAAAACCCAACATCTACGAGGGTCTGTATATTCCTTTTAATTATTCCCGACTGATGTTCTCCGCATTATCAGGCCACTTCGCGCCAAAGCTAAGCCGTGATTTCTTCTGCCGTTTTCACGAAGAGCTCCGCAGCTTGTTTCCAGTACCCTCCCATCTGGAGACACTTTTGCACAAGTTTCCATAGGAAATCATCTGCATAGGGGATGCACTCTGTCGCACTACAGATGATCCAACCTGGCCAGACAGCAGAAATATGGAACAATTTGTTCCAAAACAATGTTGTACTATACTGTATACAGATTCGTAATATTCGTCTCAAATAACTATCCGTCTTCACTTACAAAGACTTTCCATTTGAAAGTACCCACCCAGGTCTGTCGGAGATATACTATTCTTGATATTATATAGTTTTCTCCTATCGTGCCTGGCTTTTACTTGGGTATTCGTTTGATCAGACCGTCCTTGGTATGAAGGAATCTACCGTATAATATAAGGAGTACTCATGCAACAAGCCTCCTTCCATATTCCTGTTGTAAATCTATCCACCCAGGCCCAAATTTCTGTTCCTTAGCCTTCCGTGGCCAGCTTCCAAGGCTTCATCTATTCACAGCGGAGCCGCTATTAGATTAGTTTTCTCTAGCTAGGCTAGTGAGTAAACCGTTCACGACACCAAGGGGTCCCCTTCCACAAAAGCTATGTAGCGCATGCTCACTTATATAAACCCACAGGTTCAATACTCTTACGCGATGGTCATACAAACCATTGTCACAGTTGAAAGCCCCCAGTCTAGTATCACTGACTCTTTACGTACTACTATCCCCCATCTACGTGTCCACGCCGGTCCATTCTTCTGGGTAAATGGATTCATATTGTTTATTATATACGATTTCACATAGAGCGCGCTCCTTCCAATCAGTGATGGTTCTCTATGGAAGGAAAATCTACGCGCGATTCTTTATATAGCTCTCCTTGCCAATATTCAGGTTCCCTGGGTCCATATTATTATCACCAAGCCATCCGCAAAATATCTCTATCAAAGACTCCCTGGACTCAAATGCTGGATACATATTGTACCCGTCATCGTCTTAGAAGCTATTATTCATTGGCTGGTAGAAATGTACACTCTAGAACTCGCGACATCTCTGTACAATCTGACAGGCTTCATCGATGTCGAAGATCTTGACCTAGAAGGTATCCAGGTATCACGTCGAGGCTATAGGCTTGGCGCTATAGGCCTGGTCCCGTGTTTTATAACGTGTATGACTACACTTCCAATACGAACAGTTTGCCTCCGGATTGCGGCCTCTACGCTGCCGGATGATGACGAGCCGATTGTACCACTCGATCCGAGAATGAAACCGAATCTCCCATCTGGTACCCTCAATATATGGAGAGATTTACCGGATAGGACATGGACGCGAATCTGGAGATATCAAGCTCATGCGTGTATTTTATCAGCGAGCATCTTCTTTCTGGGCAAGATGACCTACAATGACTTCCATAGGTTTGCCACTATTCCCATGATTCGTTTTAATTATTGATGAGATCTCCCTTCTATCGCAATTCTTTTCGAACAATATTCTTACCCGACATGCTTAGCTAGTTAGTTGGGGCGGCTGCCGACGGTTATGGTAAAATCCTTTTGTCATTTTTAAGATACAGAGAAGAGTCAGCCTCAGATACTCTGCCCACTATTATTCGCTCGTCCCAGAAGAAGAGAAGTAGTCACCCCTTTGGACCCGACCGAATGTCTGTTATAATAGATCAGCGCGATTCTCTGAGCGAGGAGCCAGTGACTTCCATAGTAGAGTGGGTATCAGATGGCTCGGTATCCGAGTCGATGGTAGATCCTTGCGAAAGAACAGATGGTCTATCATCTTCAAGATAATTGCCTGCCATTTTTTAGGAGCCAGGAAAGCTCTGTATAATTTCACTATATGTATTTAATATCTACTGTACAAGATGGGTTGTGGCTTATTTAACAAGTCTCTGGGTAGGTTCCTCAACTATGCGCCATTATGTTTGATGCCAGTAGAAGCAATACACTACTTTCTAGGCTTATAGGGTTTCATGTACAAATTGCTCGGTTCATCGACAGACGGTATCACCACCGCCCCAGATTCTCCACCAGGGTCAACCTACTAAGAACTTTTCCTCCAGGGTCTAGACTCTGGTAGGTTCTATTCTGACTCGGAAGGATTTCAGTGACTTCTTACGGGTATTATTTGTGCTTTGGCAGGTTATCACTCAATGATAGCGAAATACAGAACACCCTAGCACCTTATGCATGTCGGGAAACTATTGGGCTCCTGATATGACTGCGCAAACTGGGGGAAGCTTAGCGCCACAGTTTCTCGCCATGGCAAAGCGGGTTTTAGTGGCCAAATTCAAGTCTATCCTCTACCTACGTTATGGAGATCAGTGTCCGAGCATCACCTTTGCTATAGCTTATTGGTTGAGAAAACAAATCTACCTTCGCCAATGTCGAGTGACCAAGCCCTCAATCGGAGTCGCATCTCCATCCGTCAGCCGTCTATAAGTCTTGCGGGGCATCTATGATGGTATGCGTCCTGTCTGCGTGCCGATCTTTAACTGTCTCCAGCAAGATCCACGGTTAAGCTGGGCCCACTGCCTGTGCCGATCCGCTCGGACGAACCCAAACTTTCGTGACCCAATACGTGTAGCTGTTGAATGCTGATTCTCAGCTTCGTATAATCTGGGTACAGGAGGGATGATCATGATCTATCATGCTGATTCTCCAACCTCAGAAGCCGGCCATGATGTCACAAAAGTCTCCACCCAGCAAGATAAATATGCACTGTCTCGCTGTCTGTCTAAGATGTAGCAACAATATATCCCAACCTGAGCAACTGGATCCCCGCCAACCTCGCTTTATTTTGCAAGATAAACACCATATCAAGCAACCTCAATCATAGGGCTTTCTAGATTGTATGGCTCACCCCCTTAGTGACCGTTGAATAAGAATAAGATCAGGTCAGGTTAACAGCACCAGGCTATCATGCGAGGCGATCCCTGCTACATCCGCGCGCAAAAGGTGGAATGGCACCGAACAACCACCCAAGTCGGATCAGACTTCTACTGGACCGCCGGGGACGAAGGCATTGGCACCCTCACTGTCGAGCCCCAAGGAAGCGACCCCACTCCTTGGGTCTACGCAAAGCCCGATAAGAATGTCGCTCTCAAGCTTGATGTCGAGATCCACCAAGATGGCTTCATCCTCCGTGATATTGATTCAGGCATGACGGTGAGCCGATCAGGGGACTGGGTGATCCTCAAGCACGCGGAGAATCCCGATGATGCCATGCTCCAGTGGTCGAGGATCAGTCGACAAACCTACTGGGCCCGATTCAAGAGTGGAGGCGATTGGCTTCGCACGAACGAATCCGGAGAGCTCAATGTGAAGGGTTCTGGCGAGTATGCGATTCTCATGCACAATAGCTTTTGGCATCTACCTCATTAAGGCTTCTTGGTTTTTGCAGAGAGACGGTTTTGTGACGAACGTTGAAGCTGGTGGCGCTGTGGGCTTGTTTGTTATGTCAGGAGTTAGCAATCATCCTTGAGGTGAATCTATCTGTAAATTTTCGTTGAGAAATAGAATCCCAAATACCTAGCGAACACAGTTCCTTGATTCCTCGAAAGGTATAACAAGAGAGCAAGAGTATTCGACAGTATACTCTTTTCATAAACATGGTGTTGGCCACACTATCCAGCTGGTTTATGCACTTGCTGCACCTACTATATCGTTTCTTTTATGATGGAGAAGAAAAACATTGTCCACGAATGCCAGTCTGAAGGACTAATATAATTGGAGTTTACATTACCCCAGAGAATCGCTTGGAGTTGTGGGCCAATGAAACCCCGTTCTACGAGGAACCTGAGGCCCTGGTACTAGTTAATTACAGAATAGTATTGCAAGATAACTCGCGAAGAATGATCGTCCGCCTTAGCACTACCTGATCGCTATATCATTTGATAATCCTAAAAACGTACAAGAAAAGACACAGAAACATGCTCAATACCAAAAAGGCGACGCTGAACCAGACCCACCTATATACTTTGAATTGCATTGGTCGGCCTTCGTCCGTACTTGCTTTCCTCAACGTACGAGTCGGCTTATATCGACCAAGCTCGAGGTCTGTCTCATTGCAGCCTCCAGAAGGTTCAAAGTCAAACATATGACTGTGGTGGGTCCTATGATTCCCCGAATGCTGCTGGTCAGTCTGAGTCGACTGTGTAGAAGCTTCTGAGGCGTTAGCATTGTCCTCGCTGAAGAGTTGATGTGTAAAGTTGAAAAAAAAAGAATGGAATGGTTATTGCGTACCTATAGGCCATGCCTTATGTGAACGCTCATAGTCCGGATGCGTATACCAGCTATCATTTGTCCCCGATAATTGAGACCATGATCGAAAATAGCAAGTACTTGGTGCTGGTGGGAGGGTTGGTAGCGGATCTTTGCCATGTCCGCCTAGAATGTTGGACCTCGCGTATCGTCTGAATGACGAATCGCTAAGAGCTTCCTCAAGCCACCTGTAAGCGTATTCGTAAACCATATCATCTGACCATCCAAACCGGGCAAAGTCTGTGCCAGCATCGAACACCCATCGCAGCGCTTGACTTCCTCGTACAAGCATTGGATGAATATGCTCGATTCGCCAACGTGGCATGGGTGCATTGACCCCGAATGACATCGCTGGCAGCCCATTTTCTTGAGAACATCTTACATCAAAACCCGCGCTATGGCTAGAAGACTTTCTGGGATTTGAGACACCAGACTGGTCGATGATTCTAGCAGGGGGCGGCTGAGTTGGAAGATTAATTGAGCCCTGAGAGCCATATTCTTCTAGTGGCATGTATGAAGATTCATATCTAGATCTTAAAACTAGCTGTTGCAATGCAGCTCGTGCGTTAGCCAAAGTACGCGAAGGAAGAGGTGTCCTTGAATGGAGCTGGCGTTCATCGTTCATATCAACTGGCGTGTTCGGGTAAAAACGCGAACCGGTCCCAGGGCCAGAGGCCATTTCAACATGTTCAACTTCTGGACTCTCTTGACCAGAGGGTTGATGTATATCCTTCTCGGAATTTGGCTTGTGTGGTTCTCCTGGCGACTTCGACATTGTAACTATAAGGATATTGTGCGGTCGACCATAGGACAGCTCACTGTGTCGTCCCAATCTATACGGGTGACAAAATCTCGATTATGGGGCTCATACATTCCCCAAATTCTTGCTTGTATATGGATCAAATGACAAAGTATCGTTCGAGACGAAAGTTCATATACTATGTACGGCAAAATATTCTCAATATACGTTGTGACGGAGGTCGGTCTGCAAATAGTTAACACGGATATACAGGAAATTGCTTTAACGGCATACCTAGGAATGATTGGAGAGATAGATGAAGCGCAGAGACTCAAGTAACTCTGATACGCTCTGTATTACTCATAAATCGAAGCTAGATAAGCCAAACAAAGAAAGTGCAGTAAGTCTTCAGAAGTAAGATATTAGAATACCAGCCTTCTAAGCAACGTTCTCGTCCTGGGAAACCGACAAATGGTTAAAAGGGAAGAGCAGAAACATTGCTATGTCTGCTTTTTGAAGGAGATGCCCCAAAATAAAGTTAATGAGGGGTAGAAATATGTAGGAAGGAAAAAAGAAAAGAAAAGGCCATATGCCCTTCACGAGATGCTGGTGTCCAAGGCTTAACCGTATCATGAGGTTTGGCCAGAAAGCTAGCTAATAAGCAATGATTAAAATGTTAATCATCAAAGAAACTAATGCATTCCACGGTATATTGCAAATGAAACTGTTCTGAGAGAATACGACGTGCAATAACTCGAGACGCGAAGATCAGTGGTTGAGTCTGCAGGGCTGGAATGCACTATCTAAGGCTTAATGCAAGTTTCGCGTCCTGAATATCTTGTTCGGAAGACCAAGTGAAACGAGCTCTTCTCCCTTGATGAGTCATGGGGGAATCATACAGGAAGCTCATACCTTTGTCATATGCACTCGGTCACGTACACGAAGGAGGGACGGTATGATCTCCACATTCCACATCCCAGTTCGGGCGTAGATTTGACCTTTACAAGCGTTTGCATATGCCGTGATCCGTGATGGAAGAATACAGGATGAGTTCATCTTGGTAGACGTCAATAGCCACATTAACAAGTTCTGTAGTCAATGCGTTTAGGATCCACTTCCAAGCCCTATGTGCTCCGTACAACAATTGCCTGTTTTTTTCAAAGTATGAACATACCACATCTATTCCACATTCAAAGATAAAATATTATAAGAAAGAGCTTGATTGAGATTCACAGTACATAGTCGTGACAAATATCGCGAATAACCAGCCATCAAAGGATTGGAGTCCTCGCGTCGTAGAATATACAAATAACCCAGGGATCCAAAAACCTGAGCCGCCCAGAGAAAGAGCCAGAGTTGGCTGACCGCTTCACGTGGCATCTATTGCCAATACCTGGGCTCATCAAAGACATGATAACGATGACCGCGGACTCCCTGTCCGCGGAACAACCCGGGGAATCGACGCCCTTCTGGTACCATTTCCTCGGGCAGTCGCATCTCATTCTCAGGCTCGGATTCCCCAATGACGAATTTGCCGACCTATCACAGCAGTTGGTCAGCAATGATGAGACGTTTCCCCCTCCGCAAAGGGCTATAGGCATAAACATGACATGCACGGCAAGACTTACCTGAATCTCCGTGTCTGTGATAGAATCCCGACTAACTCGAGCGTAGCCAGTCCTCTTGATGTTCTTGTAGAGGATGTACTCACACCATCGGTCCCAATCGGTAGGGTCGATATCTTTCATGCCGCTGAGTTCACTGACATAGGTATTGTAATTACCTTCCAGTGGCTTTGTGACCAAGTAGCTCAGCAAAATCAGGGGGCGAGGGGATGAACCCATTAACTTCGATAAGTATTCGGTCTGGAGGCGGCGGTCTTCCGGGTCTTCTTCTTGTCCCGAATGGAACACCACAACATCAACCAGCTCTCCATACATATCAAGAGTGGCATGAATGGCCGGGGCAAGCTCACCAACAGGAGAAGGAAGGAGGTGGTGAGTGGAATTGACAATTGGGAATTTGGAAAGTAAAGCTGAGCCCCAAGTGTGCTTGTTAGGACCAGGACCGAAGTCTGCGTACATGCCAAGATCTTCCGCCAGGACCTGGGTCATATCGCGATTGCCCATAATGATGCGCTGGTTATCGGATTCAAGAAGGCCAATGACATCAAGCTCAAGTTCCTGGATGACATTGCGCATACGCCGTTCCGATGACCACATGTCATTGTCGAGACCAAAGTGAACTGTCCAAATGCCGACAGTCGCGACCTTATCCTCTTTGTGATATGGCACATAGTCGTTTGTAGGGAAGCGAAGATACGCAATAGCCATGGAAATAAGCTGCAGCGTCGCTAGAATATAGATGAAATACGACCGCTGTCGTTTGCCATTCGGACTGACGATCTTGCTCTTAGTACCGGATGAGTTGGTGACAGCAGCAGAGAAGACACCAGCTCCAATCGATAACATAGTGGTAATCATGATCCAATCGGTGTGCTCTCTGACGAGAGGCCCACCAGGAACAAAGGCATACGCAACAACCCACACATGGAAAAGAATCAAGAATGTGTACAGAAGGAAACCGATACCAAATGTTTTAGCCAATGAATGGCGAACAGCCGACGAGACCAAGACTGGAGTGACCGCGAGAAGGTAGAATGCAAGGATAAGGCCACCGTAGAATCCAGTCCAGTGACTGGAGCAAGTAAGCAGTGCCGCACCAATAGACGCAATCCCATATGCAGTCCAGCTTCCAGCAACGCCGGGATAATACAGACCGTAAATAAGTCCAGCACCCATTGCAAGAATAGTGAGTGCACCATGAGGTACTGCAATAGGGCCGCGCACGGGATATCCCTCCCAGACCCAAGCGATCATCGTGCTGGAGTCGGAGAGGAGGGAATGCATTGCGAAAAGCAGACCGCCGATACCAAAAGCGGCAAATAATGAAGAGCCTTTCCTGCCGCTCGAGGGGAAGTAATCCCCTCCATTAGTCGGAGGCCTTCTGTGCGACCTGAGGACGGCCAGGACACCAAGGAAAAGTCCCAACTTATTCCATCCTCCATTCTCTGCATGCATGATAGGCCAGATGGGGTTGTTTGTTTTGCATGCAAACTTAGCAATGCTTGACATAATCAAGCCAATGCCCCATGCAAAGATACGGGATTCCAATCTAGAACTGTTTGCCCTTTCGGCATACAGTGTCGCAGACCATGCGATACAGCTGCAAGCAACCGCGAAAGTGGTCATAAACAGTCGATTGGCAGGGTCTTGCACCTTATACGCCAGTAGCCCGGAAAGTGAGAGAAAATGGAAAAGTCGAGGATTTCTCGTGGCGGCAGACTTCAAGGAGGGAATGACCAGGAGGACCGGAGATACGTAACTTAGGATGGCTAACTCGTAACCAGAGATACCCATATGCCAAAGAGGGAAGTCTAACTCTGTCAGAAGATTGTGAGAGAATATTTCCACTGACACTTACACCAGACGAGTACACCAAGGGCAGTCCACAAGGACCAGAACACAAACTACACTTGGTCAGTCATCAGGTCCACTTGTGAGGCCAGTCTAATATTTACCATATTGTAGGCATCTGCAGCGGCATCAATGATCTCTGTCCAGAAGAAACCTTCGCCGAACGTATTTCCAACAGGCTTTCCTTTCCTAGCTACGAGTTAATTGCCAAAATTTCTGATAGTCTTGGAGAGTAGATTATACACACTCTTTTTCAAGGACGGAGTCTGCTGTGGTCTTCAACTGCCTGGAGATTAAAACCTTAGAACACTGTTCTCAAATACCAACATCCATATCTTGGCAACCGTACATTTTTCTTCTTGATTTACTTCGGAAGCCACTGTACATACCCTCTGCTAATTCCTTTGACATCCCTGACCACGATCTCAAATGCGTCGAAGTCGAGTGCAGTGACAGCGTCGAAACCCACATCAAACAGTATAAGGGACCATTCAAAAAAGGCGTACTTGGTGTAAGCTAAAAGTAAGAGAGTTAGAAGCAGGGACGAAAGAAGCTATACAACGAGATACACACCTCCCGCGACCTTATGCACCTTGTGCTGAATGAAATAGTAAATTAATGGAACAAGAGTTCCGAAGAAACAGCTCGCCAAAATCTTCCTGTACTTCACAGCGCGGCGGTTGTTTGGGCTAAGCGCAAGGCAGCCAAGAGTCCAGGGCAACGTCGCAACAAGGTAAGAGATCATGAAAATATCATGCCAATCATGGTCGTCCGTAGATGTAACGTACGTCCAACCACCGCATGTAAACGTCCGAAACAGTCCAACGCCGGCGATGAACTTAGGAAGAGCTGAGTTGGGGCGCGAGGTCAGAATGTACCAAAGGAACACTAGAGCAAACCGAGGACCCGAGGTGATGGCGATAAACACTTGGAAGAAGGACCGTTCCGGATAGCGATCACCGATCGTTGCTGATACCGACGGAAACCATTCGTCAGGATAGCCGTAATGTTCATTTTGCACGATTTTCCTGAAATGCAGAGACATTCCTACTACCAAAGCACTCAAGAAGGCCGCATAAGCAGCGACTGTGTGCGCCCAAGACACCCATTTCCCATTAACCTAACAATTGTTCAGTGACTCTCCAAAGTACCTCAATTCTTGATATAGCCAAGACTAACCGCTACAACGGCATCCCCATCTTTGAACTTGGGTGCCATGGCAGCGAAGAGAACAGGCGGACCAGTCTCCGGCCACTCGACGAAACAAGGAGGAAGTGAAGTGAATGAATAACAATTAAGGAGACAAACGAGTGTCAAGAACGTAATAAGAATATGAAAAGAAAGAACAAACTAACAAACGGAAATCCAGACAGCAATGGTCAGGAGCCCCTGAGCCAGATGAACATGAGATGGATTGACAATGGAACTAAGGCTCGGTAACTGGCGGGTGTAAATAAGCGCTAGTCCGAAGTAGGAAAGCGGACAGGCACCCGACGTGGTCGGAGCTTTTGATTGCGGGATGCCGACAACTTTTTTTATCACCCCATTGATGGCTGTTTGATCTCAGAGGTATCCTGCAGCAACGACAATCGCAACCATGTCTGCCGCTACTGATAAGGCACGCTTCTTTCTAGAAAAGTCAGTACCTGAACTGAAAGAGTATGAGAGAAAGAAAATTTTTAGCAAGGTATTTCCTCAAAATGCACAACACTTTAAAGTATGCAGAGGTCTTAAACTACGTTTTCATTGTTGTAGGATGAGATCACAGCGATCATCAAGAAACGGTCGGACTTTGAGCACAAGCTCAATGCTCGCGGTGCTCAACCTTCCGACTTTGTACGATATGCAGAATACGAGATGAACCTCGACGCCCTCCGACGCAAAAGGGTGAAGCGACTCGGTATTCGCGGTGCGGGATATTCTGGCCAGCGGCGGATTTTTTTCATCCTGGATCGCGCAACTCGCAAATTCCACGGCGATATTGGTTTATGGATTCAATACATTGAATATGCTAGGGCGCAGAAAGCTTTCAAGAAACTTTCCACTATCTTCGACGATGTCCTACGACTACACCCAACAAATGTGGATCTGTGGATATATGCAGCGCAATATGCTTTGGATGACCATGCAGATATGACGCAGTCTCGAAGCCACATGCAGCGTGGGCTACGGTTCTGCAAGAGCTCTAGGAAGCTATGGATTCACTACGCGAAGCTAGAATTGATCTATACAGCCAAGCTCGTTGCTCGGCAGCGCATCCTGGGTCTTGACAGAGAGATTGAAGCCCCGAAACCGATGTCAGACGCTTCCTTTGAAGATCCTAACGCCGACATGATTGCGCTACCACAGATCACCGGTGAAGATATCAATCCGAGCGCTGGAGATAGTAATGGAGTGGACCAAGTGGCGTTAGAGAATCTTCGCTCAACACCTGCAATGAGCGGTGCTATCCCTTTGGCCATTTTTGATACAGCAATGAAAAACTTTGAACAAGATGCCAAATTCGGTCGGGAGTTCTTCGACATGGTCGTGGAGTTTCCTGACTTGCCATGTTTACGCAAAATCTTGGAGCATGTTGTCAATGCGCTGCAGCAGTCCAGTCCTACCAGTCATCATACGCAAATCTGCTACATCAAACTTCCTACCGCCGGAGTGCAGCCCACGTCACCCGATTTCCCACGGGCTTTGATTACGTCCTTTGCCCGGTTGAAGGAGCACCGCGAGAACCCCAATGTCGCAAAGGAGGTTATTAACTGGCTGCAGCCATTGGAGAACGCAGAAGGCCTGGATCCGTCTCTGCAAAAGGCCATTACTGCCACGGTCCGCAATGCGGAGCGTGTGCTATAGCCTCAAGAGCTGGCGGCTCCTCGTTTGTTCTAATTTTTCGTACCTGCTTACTTCTCCGCTGTCATGCAAAGGCGCATATTGGAGTTCATCATCGCACATGGGTGGTTCAGATAAAAGTTAGCTCTTCGCCAATCATTCATCAAATTTACTACCCCGTCGATTGCTCTTTTTGCTGCTATGCAGTTTCTTAGACTTAATTCTGGCTTCGTTTTCAGCCTTCCTCCTGTACAACGTGAGCCTGAAGCCTCTCGGGGTGTTTGTAGAAAGGAAACAAAGCCAATATAGTGATTCATAAACGTACAATTTGTGTACCCGATCTCTTTGTTCCTGAGACGTCTCCCCAGGAATGGCATCTGTTGCAGTAGTTTTAAGTAACTGATGCAATTTCTCGTAACACGACTCCACATTGGCGGCTTGTTTCCGCGACTCTTCCGACTGTATGACTAGACTCTGCGATCTCTCGGCGAAGTATCGTGATGATCGTAGCGAACGGTGTAAGATTCGAGGCACAAGCGGTAAGAGAGAATGAAGAGGCACTTTTAGAGTAGCTTTTGAGTTCACCCTATTCAGATCCGCAAGGTCCAGTTAGTGATTGTTCGACACAATCGGAGGTTATTTACGCGAGGTCGACCGACTTGTTCACGTTCTGACCCCCAGGACCACCGGAGCGACTAAATGAAATTTCACAAATATGGCGTGGTATAGTTTTCGAAGTGAGTCCCGTGAGCCATTTTCGAGCTGCGGCTAGATCCTCATTTGAGCCTTGGAGGCGTTCTGTGGCGGCCGCTTGTTTAGAAGCGAACGTTCTTGCGGTGAGAGCGGATAGGGAACGAAGAGGGGGGAACCAATGAACTCTCCGAGGACGTAACTGCAGCGTGACCATTCTTTTCTGATATGCTTCGGTAGATTATCTTTATTTCTTTTGTAATGTTCTCCTGGGTAGTTGATGTAATAGTAGTACGGAGCAGCCAGTGTAGGTATCCCTGCAACTCGGACATTGAATTAAGAATGAGATACTAATCGGTAACAAGCATAGGGATCTTCTAGAAATCCGAGTTAGCTTCAAGGTTAGTTGCCGGGAAAGATGCTGTGCTTAGTTCTAACTGGGACTGAAGAACCCGATACTTGGCGCTATAGCCGATCGGGAAGGTCAAGTGAGGCAGTGGGTATCCCTCGAAGCTGGGTACCGTACACTTCCGCGGGCTTTCCATCGGTACAGAACCCCTTCAGATGGTGTTCACCAAGTGGTAGCTTGGTTAGGAGATCAAGATCCTTAGGTAATCCACTCTTCTGTACAACTTGGGTACCTTTCAGGTACATAAGAATTCGGAGAAATGGAGAATAACAAGTGCTGACCAGAGTCGGTTGCTCAATTCAGCTATAGTATAGACGGAGATACTCCGGTCTTACCAGGGTCTGGACCTGACTCTAAGAATAACTCCCTTGACGAATGATGAAGGAACTTTCGAGCAGTTCCAGGGGAAATCATCGAGAGCATGACTTGACCCGCCACTAAGACTGGCTGGCAATCGAACTATCCAGTCATACCGTCGGCATGAGGAGACCTTGCGCGCTAACGCCCTACCCGATGGGGAAAGGCTCGTAAAGTTTGTGCAGCATTGTAAAGCTGACGTGCGCAAACCGTAACTTTACAACATAGGAAATCTTCCATCGCCATGCGGATTTTTTTTTTTTTTCCTTTAACCCTCCCACACCTCGACCCCATTTTGAACTAATTAATATATTTTTTTTGTGTGTGTGATTTCAACTAAAAGAGGGATCTTCACCAGTTACCCTGGTCACCCCTCCCAGAGTACATTAGCTCTGTTTTTTTTTCAAGTCACTTGCCCTCGTTCCCACCACGCCCCCCTCCGATCCCCTCCCCTCCCTACTGTACTACTAACTACTACTACACTACCACCAACTTCCCCATCTACTAACTCTGGCGTCGTCTAATAGTACAATTGTTGACTAATTATCAAGGATTGACGGAAGAATCCTTCTCTTGTCTGCTCATCATACTACATAGTGCTGGGCTTACCCCTCGGACTGTCATTTCAATACTTACTAGATCTTTCCATTACATACGTCCGAGCTTTTGTTTTTCCCTCCCTGCCTTGTTTTATATACCTACCCGGGCCTTATCCTTGTTATTTTATCATTATTATTCCTTATCGGCCTCGCTCGGTTTCTCCTCCCTGCCTTCTGTTTGTCTCGTGCTTATTGGGAGTGTCCGTCTGCTTGGTTTTACTATTCGTCAAACAGATCAAACAGCCAGTTCCTCTTCCTCCCTCCCCGTGGTGCTTCTCCTTCCTCTCATTGATTTTTCATCTCTATCCTCCCTTTACCGCCCACCGGAGCTCCCAAACGGCCCGGCTCTTTTTTTCCCAAGATTAGCCCCACCTTAGCTTGGTCGATTTTGGAAAATCCCTAATCCCCTGTGGCTCTTGGGACCGTTTTTTCGCATGATTTTGTAGATGAATCAATTCTTCATCCTTGGTCTACATGACGCCCAGTTCCCCAGATGAAGCTCTTCACTTTCGAGGCAAGACCCTGACTCCCGAGAGCCCTCGTCCGCTACACATCGCGGAACCAGCCAATATTCCGGTGCTTCAGAATCAAATGGACCCCGTCTTCAACGATACTTCGACTTATGAAAAGTCCGAGTCTGCTTTTGAACACCGCGCCCAGCTGCATGCTAATTTGCCGTCCCAATATGCCCATTATGCTGGGTCTGGGGGTGTGCAAGGAAACTATGGCTCTGTGCAGGCTTCGGGACACTTCCAAACCCAAACACAAGGTAGCTACCACCACTCTGGTGCATTTCAGGCGGACGATGGTTCGATGAACAAGAACGCGGTTGCGTCTTCCCATGCGTCACTGCCATCAGACCAATCTGCATATGCTTCTTCCATGGCCACTGCGACCACCTCTGCTGCGCAGGGTTCCGAACCAAACTCATCTCTAACCACTGTTCCTCCATCAGATTCCGCCACCCATATAACTCATCACCCTTTCCCCGATCTCCCTCCCTCTGCCCCCCATGCTTCTCAAAGCATTCCCATTGCGAGCGAAATAGACCATGCAGCCTCCTCCTGGGCAGCTTCGTCGGCTCTACAGGATCGCTTAGACACCCGCAACAAGTCACATAACACTGGTGAGGATGGTGTGGATTTCCAGAACCTCCTCGATAATCTCCCCCCTTCCTCCACTGCCGCTCCTTCTGCCCCTGCAGTATCTGAGGCGGTTCCTTTCGGAGATGCCTCTGCGGACCCTCAAGCAACTGATGAAGCTATCCAATCTTCCCTGGGCTTGCCTCCTCGTCCCCCACCCCAGGAGAAGCCTTCCATCCATCCCAATTATAACCCCAGCGATGATATCCGCTCGTATCATCAACTCCCCCCTCATGCGTCTAACGCCCAACCCTCCTACACTGCCCAGCAAAGTAATTACCAGTCTAACCCCGCACTCCCTTCCTTGACAGCTGCCGGTGCTCCAGGGACCACCTCAGGCGTCAGTAGCCTGCCCCCTCCCCCCGTGGCTAGTTTCCAGCAGTCCCCGCCGGCGGAGGCGCAGGCACCTTCCTCCCCCGTGTCCAATAAAGCTGGGCGCGTGGATAAACAACAGGTTCGGCAATCTAAAAGCGCCGATGATGATGCCCCTTGGGGACCAGACGTACAAAAGAAATATGACGAGTTTCTGCATGACGAGAGGGTATATGTCACAGAAGGGCTCTGGGATCGTTTCCCAGCGGGATCCAGGTTGTTTGTCGGTTAGTATTGCAGACCTCATTTTGTACCCTGGCGGTGGATTATCTAACGTTTGGGGTTCCCAACAATAACAGGCAACCTTCCAACCGAACGAGTGACCAAGCGAGATCTGTATCATATCTTTCACAAGTACGGGAAACTAGCGCAGATATCTATCAAGCAGGCATACGGCTTCATACAATTTCTGGAGGCCCCAGCCTGCAAGCAAGCGCTCGATGTAGAGCAAGGAGCTGTGGTGAGAGGCCGCAAAGTTCGTAAGTGTCAGCCTTCTAGATTTATAAAATTGCTCGGTCAGACTAATGGAACATTGTAGACCTTGAAATATCCAAGCCACAGAGAAATACGAGACCTGGTCCAGCTCCTGCGGAACCTTCCCGTGCTCCACCGGCGAGGCGTTCGAGGTCTCCCGAATACAGCAGAGGGGGCCCGCCGAGCAGTCGCAACCCTAGAGCTCCTACGGATCGCTACGATCGACCATACGAATCTCCGAGAGTTCCATTTAGCGATTTCAGAGATGAGCCTACTCACCGTAGGCGCGATGACTATCGGCCTCCGCCCCGATCCCCGTCCCCGCGTGGCTTCCGCGGAAGGGACGGATACCGGTCCCGGGATAGAACCCCAGAGCGGTACGATCGACGGGAACGACGCCGGTCCCGGTCCCCCTATGCAAGGGACCGAAGATACCGCACCCCCAGTCCACGGGCCCGCGGATATGAAGGTGATGTAGAGTTGCCAGTGCCCAGACGGGCCCCAAGAGATGTCCCAGAGGTGCAAATTCTCGTCTTGGAGGAGGTCGACCGGTTAGTTTTGCGTTATAACAGTTTGCCATATGACTCTTGCTAATCAGATTGTTAGAAACTTTATCTTCCATGTGGAAAATGCATTCCGCAATAGAGGTCTTCGAGTCGACGTTTTGGTGTTGGGTCCCCGAATCCCGCTGAATGCAGCCGTTCAGCGGCAGATCAGCGAAGGTGTGCTGGCAGTGGTGAGGCTCGCCCGTCCAAACCAGTTCTCCAGGAAGATTCCTCTGCAGGTATTCGATCGAAGCGGGGGTGCAGACAACGTTCGATTTAATGGTAAGTGTTTCGCTTGCTACCCAACTAGTCTGTTTACGCAGGCCTAGCCCGCTAATAACTCGCCAGAGTATCCCGATGTTGAGCCGAATATTGCCGCTGAGATCGTCTTCCACGCGCAGTCAGTGCAGCGTGGCGCGCCTCCTACTCCATTTCCTCCCAACCCAGCCTTTGGGGTTCCTCCCCTGGCGCCGCCGCCTATGCCGCAGGCCCCATTGCCAGCTCTTTCTAATCCCCCCAACATCGCCAACCTAATCACATCCCTCGACGGACCTACTCTCCAGTCTCTTTTGGGTGCGCTCCAGCAGCGGCAATCAGCCGTCCCAACTGCGCAACAACCATTTTCTACCACAGCATCAACACCCAATGCAGGTGCTGATCTCGCCAGCCTTCTGAGTGCAGCCACACGACAGCCTGTTCCCGCCAACCCACAACAACCTCTCCCTCCGCAACCGTTCCCAATCCAAGCACCTAATGCTCCAGTAGTGTCTGATCCCAACTTAATTTCACTGCTAGCCAAGGGCTTGGGAGGGCAGCAGGCGCAAAATCAGGCAACCGTTGGTCCTCATGTACAGAACATCATGAATCAATTGGGCAAATGGAAGCAATGATTTATGACTCGTCTTCTTTATTTTCTATCTTTCTTCATTGACATATTTTCTCCGGAGCTCTATCATCTTTTACAGAACATCATGGGGCATGGCGTTAATTTGATCGATCGGTTGAGGTATTTCTAAGGCATGGGGTTTCAGCCATCGGAAACGATCATATGGCCTGGTTGTCGATTTTGATTTATGTTTTCCTTCGGTTATTACGCTGTAACTGCGACAGGAGTGCAATGGTTTTCTTTTTTCGTTTCTATTCTTATAATCTCTCGACACCTGGACAAATAGATCATGGGAATACGGTGTCTTTTATCTATGTCGCGGTGTTGATTATATGGTTTTCTCCGACGGTTACTTGTGATACACTAGGGCGCATAGCGGTCAGCTGGAGTAATGACAAAGATGAATAATACTAACATTGAGTATGTGATGATCTAAACCTGAAGAGGTTCCCTCGATAGACGATATGCAGTGGAGCATATGTAAAGGCCCGGGACATTATTAAGATTGGAGTGGCATAGTTTTTGATAAGTAGTAGTAGTAGTAGTAGTAGTAGTAGTAGTATGTAATACACAGCCATTTGGTTTGGAATCAATCCCTCCCGTTCTCTTCCTGTTCTGTCCCTCCCAACATAGTGACTGACCATTTTACCGAGGGTTCCATCCCTGTGCCTTCAAGTCCTGGACCTTGGCTGCATCTTCCTTCTTGATCCGCTCAATTGTCTTGTCTCGGTTGTATTCCATTACCCGCTTTTCCTTGAAATATTTGACCTGTTTTGTTTGATCGTCAGCAATCGTAAAGTATGTAGTCAATGTGAGCCACAGATCGCAATAAGGGAAGACGACTAGGTAGCTATAGAGAGAGAGAGAGAGAGAGAGAGAGTCGAGTCACGTCCACCGACCCCTCATTATAGCAGGCGAAACTGAGATGCGGCAACATACCCAGGCCTTTGAACAAGCCGACTCAAACTCCGCAATCTCCTTCCCACATTTCCGTCGTGCTTCCTTATCCTCCTTGATCGCGTCCAGGATATTATTGTCATCTAGGCAGGAGAAAAACAAGTCGCGACCCTCCCAGCACTTTTGTCGAGAGGACCGATCGGGGGCTATGCGGCCTCCATCGGAAGCGGTATTTTTCGAGTCGGAGGACCAGGGTAACCAACCCATTGTGATTGAGGTCTTTTTGCGAGCGACGGTTGGAAGGGACAGGGATTTGAGGAAGGTACTGGAATCAAGAGCGAAATATGAACCGTGGTAGTAACGATAGTAGCTAAACGGGCCCGTCGCAAGAAGTAAATATACTAACTAATACGTAGTTAAAGAGATGCGCTTCCCGTTCGCGCATGATCTGCGTTCCCTTTCTGCCACGCTTGGCGGCTCTGCTCGTGGCGCCACAGTAACCTGGAACCAACTTAACTTCTTTTTCAGTTCTCCCCATCAGACGATGTCCCAACAGACCATCGCTTCCTCGTTACGGTCTTAATCTATTTGCGACGCGATAGTCTTATCCACTCGCAGTCCCTCCATACCTAGCGAGGGAAGAATCCCCAGAAAAGAAGGGCCTCGGGTATATGCTCGGTGCTTCCGCGGGCCAGAACTCACCATCTCACCGGTTCTTCTCACCGTGAAATAATCCCTTGGAGTTTATCATTAGTGTGCAAAAGTTACGACATATTTCATGCCCCCGCGCCGACGGCCTCCTGCAGGGGCTCGGACAGACCTCCCGCCGCTGAAGATCGTACGGAAGATTGTTATCTTACAGCTTGCCTATTATGCCTCTGCGACGGCCCTGATCTTATTTACCACTCTCGTCTATGGCACCCAGTTCTCCATAGACTTAGTTCTGAGTTGGGACTCGCTGAGGGGGGATACCACGATTGGATGGATGCTGGGGTTGGTGTGGATGTTAAATAGTCTTGCGGGGTGAGCTACCCACCTTCCTTGCTTTCGTACAAGGGCTGCACCGCTAACCAAAACTCTCACAGGATAATCTTTCTTTTACTCCTCGTCGTTCGGTCCAAACTCATTCCTGACTTCGCTCTTACTATCCATTTCCTCCATCTTCTCGCGACGTCCCTTTACACCCACTCTATCCCCTCCAACTTGCTTTGGTGGGGTCTTCAGTTTGCCAGCGCTTCTCTAATGACCTTTGGTGGTATCTGGGCCTGCCAATGGCGGGAACTCAGACCGATTAGCTTTGGCGGTATAGCTGGTACCGGTACTGGACAGTCGTCTGGAAGTTCATCTCAGCCGCCGGGTGATAGAGGCAGTCCGTCCCGAGGAAGAGGTCGGGAACGCAGCTTGCAGGGTGACGGTGGCGAGTATGAGATGGCCGAAATGAGGGGAGTCGGTGAGCAAGCGGTATAGCTTCTTCTTCTTCTTTTTCTTGTTGGGTCTTTCTTTCTTCGATTGTATTCTTCTTTTTTCCCCTTTTTTTTCCTTCATATTTTTTGACGTTGATTCATGGCCGACTTACATGCGGATTTTGATATGTTTACAATTTTCTGTATACCCTAGCTAGTTGGCACCTGTATAGATGGCGTTCTGGTTCGAGTGTCATCCTCTCATCTTACCGAAGTGTTGATTCCATGGTCTTACATTCTGGTGACCTTTTTGAACTTGTGCAGGCACATTGGTACTTAATATCCTGTTGTTGGATATTTATGGCTATTTGGGATGGCGTCATGTCATAGCGACATGGGCGTCTCAATCATATAGATAGTATTTACTACTACTGGATAGTATCAAATCGACCCGACTGTGACCCAGGGAAGAACAAAAATGCGCCTTCTACAAACATTAGTCTTGTCGGGCAAAAGTCCGTACGATCGGCGATATGCGCCTATAGCATCCGCTCTGAATTGGCGTTTCCGGTCAATCAAAACCAAACGATTCGAGGTTCATTTATCTGGATGTGGGGGCGCCACATTCCACCTCAACTGATAAGACGTGAAGGTGGAGATAAATATCCCCAGCACTGTCTCGAATAGAGATTCCATGGTTACTTTATCGACTTCGATTTTGTTTTCAACATAGAAAATATATCTAAACCATTATGTCAACAGCAACAGCAACCGAAACCACTGCCCAGCAGAAGGTAGTCGTTGCCTCTGCAGACTACAGTAACTTGAATGTGAAGCCTGCAGTCGAGGACGCCGTTTTCCAAGCAACTGCCCGCGGCGACCGTAATGGAACGCTCAAACTACCAGGAATTCCAGTATTCACAGACCTCTACGAGAAACGTAAATGGATGAAAGAGCACATGGCAGCCGCATTCCGTTTCTTCGGAAAGCATGGACACGGCGAGGGTATTTCTGGGCACATCTCCATGAGAGGCGAGTGCTACTTATTTATCCGTGCTAGTAGAGACACAAGTACTATACTAACAGTCTCCCGCAGATCCTGTCTTGAAGGACCATTTCTGGATGAACCCTTACGCTAAGCATTTCTCTGCCATGAAAGCCTCCGATCTCGTCCTTGTCGACCAAGATGGCTATGTGACAGAAGGGGGCAATCAGGCACCCATTAATGAGGCCGGATTCATGATCCATTCAGAGATCCATAAAGCCAGACCGGATGTTGTTGCTGCTGCGCATACGCATGGAGTGTATGGAAAGACGTGGAGCGCATTTGGGAAGGGGATCGAGATGATCACTCAAGGTATGACGCCCTTCCGCAGGTTGTGTGGATCCTTTTTATATGGCAAAAGTGATTGACGGCTGTAGACGCATGTAACTTTTATGGAAAACTAGGTGTCTATATTGACCATGGTGGAATTGCGTTGGCTCAGGAAGAGGGACAGCAAATCGCCAAGGCTCTGGGGGAGGACAAGATGGCTTGCATTTTGCAAAACCATGGGTATCCCCTGCTTCTAGTCCCCGTGTTTGTTGTTCACGCCGGCTGACGATGTACGCAGTTTGTTAACCGTAGGTCGCACAGTAGATGAAGCAGCCTTTCTCCTTTCCAGCTTGGATCACGCGTGTCATTCCCAGCTGATGGCCGAAGCGGCTGCTGCCAACGGCGTACCAAAGAAGATCATCAATGATGAAGTGGCTCAGTACACGGCCAATGCGGTCCAGACACCGGTATGGCTTTCCTGTTGCGACAATCTCGGATGAGCGTGTGCTGACTGACCATCACAGCATCATTTTTATACCGAATTCCAACCTGAGTTCGACCTCATTGTGGAGGAGACCAACGGGCGAGTTCTTCTGTGATGGGAGAGGAAATGATATAGCAATGAAGCAACACCCTCCAAGGTAATTACTTGAGGCTACGAACCTATTCTTAAGAAAGTCCTTTAGATTACTGTATCGAAATTGCCTGTGGCTGAAACGGCCCCCATCACTAGCCTCTGGGCCCTGCCCTAAAACCCCATTCATTTGTACATCCACCCAATAATCACGACTATCACTGCCTAATTGAAACAAAGGTCTCCTTTAGACGATGTTAGACTTCCATAACACATCCACTGGGAATCACTTAGTGCTCACAGCCCCGGCCTCTCAGGGACCAGGGTACTAGCGTAGATTGGTGACTGGTCGCTGAACCCTCAGAAACCCTGGAAGATCTTAATATATCCATCCCTTAGTCCATGGGCACGACAGCACTCTTCCAATGATAGATGTCATTCCTTGCTGCATATCACATAATGTGGGTTCTCCATTGACAGTTGGGCCACAAGGACATTTTTCCCTAGTGCCGCTCATTTCCTTTTTCTTCGTTCCTCGAATTTCTTCGTTTACTCTTATCTCACCGATATACCTTTCTTCCTTTCCCTCGTAAACAAAAAAAAAAAAAAAAAAGGGCCAAGATGACTACCGGTTTTGCTGTCCGTAAGAACGGTTCCTGCCTCCGAACCGAGAATGACTGCGGTGAAACCGTTGGCGGGTTTCGCGGCTGCTGCCCGGGAGGTACATTCTGCCCTCACGCCTACAATATCGATTGTTGCCCAGCCGAAAAAAATTGCACGGAGTCGTTGGTGCAGGAACCGAGGTGTGCGAATGCAACATGGGATCTGTATGACAACGGAGGGTATTTTTGCTGTCCACACGACACGATAGGATTCGCGCTGGCAGGACAATATGATGGCTGTGCCGGCACAGGTTACTCATTTGGTGATCAGGACACAATGTTAAAGGTTATCTCTTCAGGGACTGGTACGTTGTTTATGCACACCATATTATATATCTGTCTATTCTATGTGGACGCTAAGGTGTATCTCAATGCTAATAAATCTACGTAACAGTGGCACTACCTTCACCAACATCTGCAACCTCTGAAATATCCTCAACATCCACAACAACATCAGGTACAACTACCTCCGCAGCAACCACTCAGACATCCTCCTCCTCATCCTCGTCATCAGGTGTAAGTAAGGGTGCAGTCGCGGGTGGTGTCATCGGCGGCGTCGCCGGTGTAGCCCTGATTGCAGCTTTTATTTGGCTTTTCATGAGGCGCCGGTCGCGGCCTCAGCCGGCGCCTATACAAGACGGGAATACACCAATTCATGACTACAAATACATATCGAGCCAGCCCGTTGAAGTGGATGGGCAGGGACATCGGTACGAGCTGGAGAGTCGGCCTAATGCGCCAGTTCACGAGTTACCGGCGCAGCTCTCAGATCGGTGACAGGTGGGGAGAACGACATTCATTCGGTGTAGTTATAAAGCCTTTATATATTCTTATACATAATGTGTACATTTATTTCCTAGAGCGGTTTGGGGTTCCTTATGATATCACTTGTCTGTTTTACGCTTTCATGTCGCGTTGCGTCGTTGGCATGCGCAATCCTTCATTGCCTTCTTAGGCTAGGCTTCATGTTTAGTTTATTTCCTGGCTAGGGTGTGGTTTCTCAGGTGTATACATGTTTAAGAATAAAGCCACTGCATTGCCACAATATCCTTTGCCACTACATCTCCGAAGGTGTGGTCGAGAATGCAAGAACGCTGAGACCGGTATTCGTAGTCAAAAATATATAAAATCCTGGGTACCGCATTTCCCATTCCCAACAATGATAATTGCTTTCAGAAGACCCAATTTTCCATATCTCCACATAACATACACCAAAAAATTATAAAACCTCTTATATATATATACACAATCATACATGTATGTTGCCCTAAGTACGCGGTAAAAGATATACATCCCCTTGAGACAGAACTATACAGATGGCTGACTAATCCGCGACCAAAGAGGCATAGTCTCGACACATGGCATGAATGGACCTCCGAGCGGATCAGCAACATCGCATACTCGATCTCACTCCGCAAGCAATTGGTTGACTATGACCGGGTTTAGAGGCCTCAATTTACTGGATCTGTCGCATGGCTAACCTACTGTACTGAGCTTCTGTCGTGTGAAAGTGTTTCGGAGAAAACACGTTGTTTTACCCAGCCAATCTTATCTAATACGATCCCCAAATTTGCTATTAGCTTTTATCTACCTAATCTGTGCTCTTCCTATTTGGTCCTATATTGAATCGACCTTGACGACAGTTATTACCTGAGAGAATACAAACTACTGGGACCTAGTCAGATCCAATCATGGCAGAAGGCGAACCATCATACATTGACTATGAGGCCTTCTTGGACCCGGACTTCTCTCCCGCCTCCTTTGCCAACTCATTGGTCGTAGCCACCAACAATGCGACAGATACACCGCTAGATCTGTCAACCCCGCTGTCACGGGTGCTCTTCGATCTACAAGAGATCGACACGCATATTCACACGCTGACCACCAAGTCAGCCCTCCCCTTGCTGACGCACACGCGGGATCAAACCGCTGCGGCAGGCCACATCCTCAAGGAAGCAGAGGAACAGGTCTCCTCCGTGACTCAGGGGTACGAGCGGCTGGAGAAAGAGGTTCTACGGAAGTGGGAAGCTGCAGATGAGGTGAGGATAGCCACAGAGAAGTCGCTCGCTACCGTGCGGCTCGCAAGAGCAGTTGCGCGCTGTCTCACTCTCGGCAGACAGCTGGAGGGCCAGCTTGCTGAGGTTACTGGCCGCAGTGATGGAACGGCGTCCCCATCTCCGGGTAGAGATGATTACCGCGCTCTGGAACGCGCAGCGTCTACGATCGTGAGTCTCCGTCGGATGTTCACGGCCACGGGCCCAGGAGAGGAAGGCCACGGGCTAGAAAAAGTCAAGGCCATCCGGACTCTACGGAGCGAACTGCTCATCCCGGCCGAAAACATGGTGAAGTCGAGAGCGCAGCAGGCGATCAATCGATTCACCATGTCCGCCCAGTCAGGCTACAAACAAGCTCGCGATGCACGAGCACGACTCAGCTCCGCCACCACAATCCTGTACCTCCTCTCTCCAATCCCCAAAGACCTATCTTCGGCATCGGACTTCCAACCCGAGCTCCTCCTCTCCACTTTGCAAGGCTACGTCCATACGGCCATCATGTCGTCCCTGAACGCCCTATCCCGGTCCCTGTCCATGCTGCCCACGCTCGACAAAACCCTCGCCGAGATCTCGGCCAAATGCCAGGATCTCTTTGCGCTGGAATCTATCCTCTCTGGCCTTCGACCGCCATCACATCCACTTTTCCCCCCAGCACCTACCCCCGAGACCCAGTCACAAGGTGGTAATAAAAATAACCTCCTGCAACCACTGCTCAGCGCCCTCGACGCATCTTCCCTCCCATCACACTTCTGGCGCTCCCTCGCTTCGTCCCTCACCTCGCGCGTCCAGGAGATTATCAACCGTGGCGGTGTCTCGGCAAGGACCCTCCGATCTAACCGGGACCGCCTTAAGAAGGACATCAAAGAGTGTGTTCTCCGGGGATCTCAACTCCCAGCATCAACCGACAAAGGACGGATGGGAATCGAGCCCGGAACGAAAGGAAACTGGGAACGAGAAGCAGCGGTGATGGTCAGTGCCGTGGCCAGTATCCTAGACAGATAAGGCTGTCTTATCAAAAAAAAAAAATTACTTGGCAAAATAGCTTAATATCCGAGATATAAAAATCTACATTACACTCGAATAATAACGGTTGTACATATATACTTACCTCCTAGCGTATGTACATACATAAATACATACATCTATACCCCGAGCCAAGATTCATCCTGATAGGTTCAAGACGGAAAAGCCAAAACCGCAGAAGCAACGCGTACATCTGACGCCTCAAGTTGTTGCACAGACCAGAGCATAAGCACAGACAAATTGATTCATATTTAACATGTGATATTTTTCCGCAACCTGCCAACCAGAAAATTCAGGTACACATAATAACTAGGGATCAGCTGATCAAAACGGGCGCAATGTCAATCGTTCGGCATAAAAACGAAGATCGTCGGAATTGTAATCATAAAAAGTAATAAAGATGTGTAAGAAACAGCAAGGGGACACAACCCAGCCTATATCTGTACAATGTGTCAGCCTCAGCGATTCGCAATCCATCCACGCATCCGTCAGCAAAAAGCCAGCCATACAGATGGGGATGCCAACGAATCCTTTTTTTTGATGAATTGTCCAGCGGTTAGTTTCGGGCGCTACGCCGCCTTTTTTGCCACATGTGTCGATGGGTGCAGGTGAGTTTATGCAGGATGATTTGCATGATCATGAGTCAGGTCGGCTGCCACATCATAGTAGATTCTTTTATTTGTTGTTAAGATTGCGTGACTGGATTTCCTGTGTTAAGCGTATGGAGTTAGGAGACAGGTACAAGCGAACAGTCATATGGGAGATGTCTCCGGGTGCCTGGAACTAGATGGAGGGAGCTGAGGCGCCACTGGCTCCGTATCTGAAACTTTATGGGACTGGAAACATTCTTTGCTCAGGTCCGGTTCGTATAGACCGTGGCCTGATTTGACTCAGAATCTTTCTTGAATTGGACGACGTCAAGACATTGTCTTGGGGTGTCTCATCTGGGGGATGTGCATACGTAAGACCCGAGATTATTAGCATAGTTAATGCGTCAATCAGGTACAAAACTAATAGCACTATGCTTCGCCAGTGACTTGGATACCTACAGAGTACAACCAAGTAGGTACCGATTCCCTACTAGGACTGGGTACCTACTAGTACCGAACGACTAGAGCAGGTACCTGCGGTGTACCTACTCTATCCCAGACTATAAATAATTAAGGGACTTAAAGTAGGCAAAGGCCGTGCGCGACATCCACAGAGCCGGGACTTTTTACCCCGCTCCAGATTTAAGAAACGGGCTGATAAGGAACTTTTTCCTTCCATGACCATACATACCGTATCTTTCCAGGTTCTCGATATTCGTTTAGATATCATCATCCCTGTCAACTTTAATCCGTAGATTAAAATGATTCTAATAAATAAAGTGTTGAACAAATGAAAGGGGACCAAATGAGAGAAGCGAAATAAAGACATTTTTGATGGATCAAAAAAAGGACTGAGGAGACGACGAAACCTGATACGGGGACCCCTCCACGTAAACTTTTCCCCTCCTCGACGGTGGTGGCGGCGTCAATGCCCCTTGGCCCAGTCCCTTTTAGGGATTTGGATACAATGAGGGGCTAGACGAAGTATCCCTCATAGGAAGCTATTGACGGATGTGCTGTTTGGTTGACGGCCACGTCGATCAGCCCCTCCGCACCGGAATTCTGTCCGCCACTTCACTGATGTGGATTGGGTCTTGGAGGACGGAGGGACGAAACTTCCTCTGATTTATAACCGTACACCTTTTTTTTTTTTTTTTTTTCCCCTTAGGCCTTGAGCAATTTCCTTAGCAAGGTTAGGGCCCTTGGAAGGAGGTAAGGTACCTCCACGATCAGATCATGGGCTGGTCCAATAGGATGCTGAAGGAGGGTGTTTTACTGTCGAACTAATGCACTGTCCGCGTTATACACTAGATGATCTCTTAGTAACCTTACTCGTCCCGTTAACTGATGGTCGGGTAGTCCAGTAAGTTATTTACCTGGTACTAGCAGGGAACCTCAATAGAATACATTCGACGGGCGTTCATTGCTGGAGGTTCTATGCGCTCGACACCAAAAGTAGACAACCGAGCAGGGACATCAATCCCAGTAGCAGGGATGTTCTTCAACGCCTTCCCTTGGCTCACTATGATTTAACAATGAAGCACATCATCGCTGTATTCTGTGGCGTGCAGAAACGCCGGTGTTTCAGTATTATCTTGGTTGTTCCTTGTTGCCAATTGGCTGTCGGACTGCATCAGAGAGATGTCATCGATTGAGGGGAACTGTTGGAAGCTTCCACTGTTTCCCGTGGCCGTTTGCAGCTATCAGACCGTCCTGCATAGAGATGGGAGTTAGAATTAGAATTGCTCACTCTAGGTTTTGTATTCCCAAACTCTCGTGAAACTTTGGCAGAGACGGAAGATCTTGGGTTGGGCTTTTCCCACGCTCAGTATACGGCAGTGGCGGTTTCCAGTCCCAGCCTTCCTGTGTTCATCTCAGGAATAAAACAAAAACAAGAAATAATTTGAAAGTCGAACAAGATATACAGAAACAAAAGAAGGAAGGGTGTTTCCTTTATGTATATATATATATATATATTATATTTTAATAAAAAAAAAAGTAATGGCAGCGAGAGGAAAGAAAAAGAAGTTGAGGGTCTGAACCGCAAACACGGGACCGCTCTCAGATAATACTGTTCAGCTAGCTTAAAGCAAGAATCATACTACTAGGTCATCCGGGCAAGAGTATGACCAATACTTAAATATACTAAAAAGTCCATTACGCCTAAGCCTTATCAACTTATCCATGTCCGTAGTCGTGCTATGGAAAACAATGCCCTAAATGTAAGGTACGTACCTGCAAAATGTGGACTATCTCTTCTGCATAGCATGTGCTCGGGCTGCCGAAGGATCGTACGGGGAATTCCAGCGCCTATCGCTTGGGCCAGTGGAAGGGTCGGAACCATGCCATTCGTATTGCCATTGTTCAGCGGCCTCAGGCTCTTTGACAATCAAACCATACGCATTGGGATTGCTGACGCGGTCGGATGCTGGGATCGCCTGGACAAACCTGAGTGGTATACCGCAGTATTGTCTCTTACTTGATCAGTCTACTAGGGCTAACCTGAGTTCAGGAAGTGAGAGCGGAAACTCAGGTATACTCCGAACTATGGGTGCGAGGCCGTGGAGAACCATGGCCCCGTAGAATTTGCCATGCACACTTCGTCGACCCGATCCTGGATTAGTTCCCAGGCTAACTGATGGTTTGGTTACCGAAAGGCCATTGGGGGAAGGTTTTTACCCTTATATCGATGGGGTGAAAGTTACCATGATATAGACTTCGAATGGTGGACGTCACCAAGTCCAACAGACCGGTCGGCGCCGTTCGGTTTCTCTGGCTACTGGTCAGAACCTCCTCCATGATCCAGATCATGATTCATGAAACACAAGAAACCACGCCACGGTTAATGCACAGCATTCCTTGGGGATATCTCACCCGCTTATTGTTTCTCCCCCTCATTTCTTTCTTCTGTAGCGAAGCAAGTTCCTGGTGCCTTTACCTTCATGGACAGAGGGTGTGAACGCCTCATGGACCCTGGAAAGGCTAGACCCATGGTACGATTGTGACCATCAGGTTCGAGACTCGCTCTCTATTACCCTTACTCCCCCACCGCCAACCAGCCTTATGAATTACTAGGACCCTACTACGTAGACAAGATTTCACCTCTTGAGTTCGCCTCGGCTGACTGCCTGGAATCGTTCAGCAACAACAAAACCCGGGGGTTCCTGATACCACCTCTTACCGGCGCCAATACCATTCTATATCGGGATACATGATTTAGACGTAGGTTAGATGATATGGATAAAACCGATAGATCAGACGGATTATTTATAGCTCGAGTGCTGGATTCCCGATAAATCCCCATCAGCGAATTGATCTCACAAAACCAGCCAGCTGTGGACGCTTGAAGGAAACTATTCCACATTCATTACGTCCCTCTTTCCAGCAGTGAAAGTAAAAAAAGGTATCGCTCGTATGGAGAACCCCACAGCTGTTCGAGTCGCTGATTCGCGTCGGTTCGTCCGGATCGAGTCGTCAGTACCTGGAACTAAGTAAAGTTTACTTCACCTGTTACTCTGTAAGTATATTATATCACTGGTGAGTTCATTCTCCAGTCCCAACCGAAATCTTCTTTCTATGGCTAGTACATCGTCCAGTACTTCCTCCTCCCTAGTGATGATGTTGATGAAAGGTACTGACCATCATCATGTTTTGGTATTGAGGTGGTAACGGCAATACCGCCAGGGCTCCAAAGTTGGCGCTGCTACCACGCTGCTACAAGACTTGACCTTACCCTTTCAAATCCACTTTGCATTCCCTTTGAACCATTCAAACGGGGCGATTGAAGTAGTAACGTCCATACTTACTAGTGCTAGCTCTGTAACTATAATTAATCCAGACTTATGGTTCATTTACCCCCTCCTTCTGCCCCTCGTTTCGCCGCCTTGTCCGCTCGCCGCCGACCGTTGTTTCCGATAAGCCTCTAGTTAAGACAAGTGTGAGTGAGTACCTACGGGGGGCGTCTTTGAGTTGGCTCCAGTTTATTTTTTATTTTTTATTTTTTTTTTAATATTTTGTTTTTCTTTCTTTCTTTTTTTTTTTTTTTTTTTTTTTCACTTTAACTCCTCCGTCTCTCTCCTCATCCTTTCCCAATCCCCTTCCTGTCTGTATCGTCGTCACCACTCAGCGAGTGGATTACCGCCATCTAACATAATCGATTTCTATTACTTCTACTGTCGCTCATCTCTCACCGCGCATCTTCTTCCTGTTTCGCTCTCTTCCTTTTCTTTCACTTTTCTTCATCCCGTCTCAGATCGGTATTTCGTGGTCTTTCCATATCTTACCTCAATTATTATACTTCATCTGTATCTACCTCCTGGCCCTGGTGCCTGTACATCCACCGCCTACACGTCATATTTCTTGGGTTATTCTACCGGGCCCTTTTCTTATTTTTTTTTTGTTCCATTTGCCTCCCTCCCCCCGGGCCGATCAAAACCCTGGGAAACAGATCACTCTAGGTTGAATTTTCTTTTCTTTTCTTTTTTTTTTTTTTTTTATCTTTAATTTATTTTAGTTCAAGGTCTTGGCCGGGGGATTGTCATACCCACAACCTGTACTCGGCGACTCGTCTGAAACTCATCGAGTCTACCGAACTTCCCTCTCTTGACCACCGCTTCTCTCCTTCACTACCCTACATCCACTTCCCTCTTTCTCGTCATCCTTCCGGTCCACGTTTAGCGTCTTCCTGGCCAGGCACGTCTGCAAGAAATGTGCCCTCGATGTTAATGGTTGTGCTCTGCCACCTACCGCGTACAACCTGCCTACCCTTGCTTCGCCATCATCGTTGGGCATTCGGCTAAAAACAATCATCATCAGCCTCTTGCTACATTCCACTTCCCTCCCCCTCCCTCTTCATCTCATCCCTGGGCCGGATTTGGAATAAGGAAAAATATCCATCCGTAAGTTTTCACACCAAGCAATAAAGAAGCCACCACCCCATCGGCTCAGCGCCCTTGCTCGTTCCTCTCGACATCGAGTGTACGGCCCACATGCTGACAGGAGTTGCGCAAATCGGTTCAGTAGTCAGCTCCGTGGGATCGACACCGCGTTTTCTCAACTCCCGGAAACCCCAACCATTTTAGCTGAAACATATCGTATTTAATGGGCCGAGGGTCACCTGAATAACCCCTTGTCGCAGTACATAGACCCTAATTCGGCGCCTGTGTCAATATGTCATCATTCTTACCTGTGAATAATATTTCGTCGCCGCAAGACCGTGTGATGGAAGAGGCGACGCCACCGACCACACCTCGAGCCCATCTAACTAACGTACCGGAGGCGCAAGACGCCGCGAAAATGGCGGATATGGAAAACGACGGCAGTACGCCCCGAAATGTAAACAACTCTGACCACGCTTCTCAACCCGCAGGCTCGCAAGGAAGTGGGCTGTCAGTATCCGAGGAGGCATCGCATGGAGACTCGGAGGGTGATCGTGATGGGTCGGACCATGACTCGGACCACAAAGGCGATGCTCCCCCGTCAAAGAAGAAAAAAGGACAACGGTTCTACTGCACAGATTACCCGCCTTGTAATCTGAGCTTTACCCGAAGTGAGCATCTCGCTAGGCATATTCGGAAACATACTGGGGAACGTCCATTCCAATGTCATTGCTCGCGACGATTTTCCCGGCTCGATAACCTGCGGCAGCATGCTCAAACGGTCCATGTGAATGAGGAGATTCCGGGCGACTCGCTCGCAGCCACCGGAACCCGGTTTCAGCGTCAAATTCGAACTGATCGAGTGCGACCTCAGGGTCGAGCCAGGGCTGGTACGGGTGGCAGTCAGGGAACTCATAGCAGAGGTCATAGCCGAAATCTGTCCACATCGAGTATCACGTCGACCGCGTCGACATTTAGTCAACCTCCGGAGCTTCGTCGCCGACCTCCGCCTTTGATTATGGCGAATGATGGACGAGCTCGTCTCGCTTTAGATACAATGGGCGATCCCCCTAGTACACCACCAGGTCAAATCCGTGGGGTACCGGGCCCAGCTGTGGCTGGCTCACCCTACGCACCCTCTCATATCTTTGCAGGAGGCAACGGCAGTCCTCATGTCGCCTCGCCGATGTCTGCAGCGTCTCATGCTTCTGGCTTCTGGGATGGTAAAACTGCTGCGCGTCGCTTGTCCGTTCCGTCGGGAGCCAATCCTTTCGCATCGCAACCGGTCAATGCCTACCCCCCTGGTTACGCAAACGCGGGCTCGGCAGTTGCATATCACCCCCCGGGAGGGGTTTATGCAAGCCCAGTGAGCTCCAACTACTCGATATCCCGGGATGAGCCATCACATAATGCAGCGGATGCCGATTTGCGGAGACGTACCTGGCATCCATCCACGTACTCGACCGTCTCACGGCCTGCTACTAGCGGATACGGCAATTACCAGCCTACCGAGACATTGGCCCCATCTTATGGCGCCAATGCACAGGACGAACAGCCACCGCGTCTGCCGGGAATTGAGAGCTTTGATAAGGTTGTCTCGAAGCGGCCTCTCACTCCACCGGTGCGCCGGCCAAGCCCGATGCACTTTGATAACGGCAATAAGCCTCCACTTACCTATAACTTTGGGGGAGGATTCAACTATAACAAGCCGTCAGTTCGGCCACCTCCCCCGATTTCTGGTCCTGGGCATCGCCGGGGTCATGTCTCCTGGGACATGTCATTGCACACGAATTTGACTGGATTGCATATCCGGGATAAGCCCCTCCATAAAGACGCATCACACTGGAGCCAGCAGACTATAGCCGAACTTCATAATGTTGGTTCTCGCCCGTCTACATCCTACCATTCACAGCAACAATACCAGGATTACCGCGGACACCATTCTCGCGGTCCAAGTTACAGCAGCACCATTCATGCTACTCGAACATCCCCGGAGGATTCAAGCAGTAGTGAAGGAGTTCATACCCCATCAACGGCGTCTCTTGAGTACCACCCTGCCATTGTGCACAACAACGGGTACATCGAACCGCATCATACCCCATTCTCTTCCGATACGTCTCAAACAGTACGCACCCGTTACCCGATGAATCGATAACGGCCAGGTCACTAATTGAACTATAGGCATCACAGTCCGATGGGTACCATAGCAAACCCAAACCCGGAACTGACTTCTTCAACAATAACCATCCCTCAAGCAGAGAATCCGGTATGGGTAGGCTCGAGGCTCTAGTTGCTGTCGCAACCAGTGAGAATAAGGGATCTGCAAAGTTGTTTGCATGAAATATACCGTCCGGGATGTTTACCAATGCGCTGGACATCGACCAATTTACATAGGTTCGCGGTGACCGAAGTGGTCTGGCGAAACTGGCAAAGGTTTCCAACTTTTCCGCTCGCTCGACCTTTTTTTCTATTCTTTTGTGATGTTGAGCCGGTGTTGTATATCACAACGCACCTGGCCTTCTCTTACTTTTCCTCTACGCTATCCTGGATATAGTTATGGCGTTTGAGATCCTCGATCTACCGACTTCCTGGAAGCTATTCACCGCCGCTTGACTGGGAATCGTTATGAAGTGATGACTGATGAATATGATGCATATAAGTGACTCGATTAACAGGGAGGGGTTTTGACTCGTGGCTACCAGTCTCTTTCGGGTGTCTTCATTTTGTTTTCCACTGTTTCCCTGTCTGTCTTTTTCCATCCGGGTCGCGCTGGTTTTTGCATGTTCGCATGTTCGGGCGTTGTTTATGGGTTTGTCCATAGCGCATGAAGATACCCCTCGGCCTCAATCTCGAGTTCAGCTACGAGGTTCTGGATGGAGTTTTTTTACTCTGGTCGTGGTGTGGCTTCAATTGTTCATTGGGATTGCCTTGTTTCTATCTATCTATATATATATGGACGTTTCCTTTGTGTGGCGGGGTTTGATCATCGTGTTTTACTACATTCGGGTCTCGATATGGTTCTTATGCGTGCATGTACGTGATCAACTAGTTTGCAAATAAGTGGACAATAAATACGACGGTCAATTTGTCGGCCAACGACTATCCAATCTGTACTATCGCCCGCTAGCTGCGTAGTACTAATGTGTCAGGAGACAAGGTGCCTGCAAAGGAACTTCCGATATCCCAGCAATGGATGCTTCCAGCCTGCACCCCGAAGCGGAACGGATGGCGATGATCCATGACGTTGAGCCCCACATTTACATCAAATCATCGGTTCCTTGAAACACGCGCGCCATGGAGAAGGACATGACTATCAGGTGACGTCGATGAAAAGCGATGCAACGCTCGAACAGAGTCTTCCTTTGGCCGGCGCTCGAGTGGTATTCGCTGATGAGACATGGCCCTTGGGTATGTACATATACTAGTATGTACTTCGTATGTATGTATGAATGTAGTACATACATGTATGTACATACGTATACCTAGAATTAGAACTTAGGACTAAAAGTAATTGGTTAGACCCCAAAAACTGTAACTAACAGTAGTGGTAACCAACGGAAGTGTGTGTATGCTCAGTGAAAACCCATGTACATGTACATACGTACGTAGTCTGCGAAATATTATTAACCACAAGGAAACCCAGGACGTAGACGTCATACCCCATGACATGGTCCTCCATCTTACCCCAGACTTTTAAAGCCCTTGTTTGCCTCACCTTCTCACATTCAATCCAATAGACTTCAATTCTTAAAGCAACCTTGAATTCGAATCCCATCACAGCAACTACAATCCATCCGTTACAATGTCGAACAGAACCGGACTCTACGCTGCGCTCGCTGCAGCTGGTGTTGGCGGTTACTATCTGTATCGGGCCGGTGGTGACCCAAAGGCTGCGAAGCAAGAGATTAAACGTACTTCTCTTCCCTTTCTATTCCCGTCACTTTTTATATCGTTGCGAGCACGAAGCTGACCTTTTGTAGATGATGCCGACGTAGCTCGCAACAAGATCCCTGCGGACAAGGCCGAGAGAGCTGGCCAGAAAGTTGGTTCTGAAGCTGGTGCGCACATCGACGAGGCGGTATGTTCTTTGTCTCCCTATCCTGAATTGATTTGATGTTCTATCTATTTCCCTCTTTTCCTATTGTATAGATGAGAGCTAATGTGTGATCAGGTGTCCAATGCCCGCACCCAGGCGCAAGACGCCAGCAATCGTGCTTCAGGACTAGCCCACGAAAGTCTCGATAAGCTTAATGACGTGCGACAGGATGCGTCAGCAACGATCAAGGCCAACGTCGATAAATTTGATAAGACAGTGGAACAGAAGACGAGTGAGGCGAAGGGATCCTTGTCGAGCTGGTGGAGTGGTAGCAAGTAATCTGGGGGGACTTTGCGTCTGGAAATTGAATAAAGCGCGTTATTGCGATGGTTTAAATTATGTTAATATCAGCTAGCTCATATCCTCTCATGAAGGCGATTAATGCTATTATTTTTCATTGACATTGTTATTATCCTTCAAATGGCGGCTTCATGATAGTGGTAAATGGTTGGAAGTATAGACTTGGCACGCTGCATGGAAGAAGAATATTGTATGTGTATTGTCCGGTTGTCGTTGGCACTGACCAAGTCTGATAACTTGATAATCCCGATAAGATAGAGGATTCGACAGAGAGGCTTGTTTTACTGGTAGAAGCTAGTGGTGCTGTGGTATGTTGCATTCCTGTCATGCCGATTACCGTAGTGACGAAGTGCCATGCACTTACGGAGTAAGTTATCCACTCGAGAACTTCTCCTCGTGCTGTGGTTTCCGGACTCCAACTTGAAAACCCTCCAAAATAGATACATCTTATAAATACTTATGAAAAACCTCGGGGGTTCGTGTCAATGACAGTGGAGTAGATCCGGAGTGGGTTGACCCAATATAACCGCATCCGGACACGACGCCAACACGCGCCAAACGCGACGCGCTCCACCAGGAAAAAAACCTAATCGCCAGCTAAATAATATCAAGTGCCCACCCACTCCTTCCATGCGAACCATTCCCCAAGTGCATTTGTATTTTACGCATCAAACCTTCCCAATTGTCTATATGTTCCTTCCATAATCTATATCTCATCTCATTTATCCTCAACAAGCAAGGCAGTCACGATGCCGCGCACTTCCACCCGACAAACCCCCCTTCCCCGAGGACAGACCGGCATCCAAAGTTTCGCAAGAACGACCAAGCCCGGTCTCAGATCAGCTGTAGATGGCAAGCAGGCCGTCGCTAGTCTTCCGGTCTCGCCTTCCAAGAAACGGAAACTGAACGAACTCGAGAACGTAGACTGCAGTAACCCGCGGACGCAAGAAAAGGGGGAACCCACGACCGAAGCGCTTACGCCCTCGAAATCTCTCCATATCAAGGAACTGTCGTTGTCGACTCCCCGAAGTGGCCATTATGCATCTCCTACCCGTACCTCGCGGACTGCTGTTACCGGTAATATTTCTGCGATCCCGACTTCTCCGTCAAAGCGTGCTAGGGGTAAGGCTACATCGCGGCCTAGTGCGGCTGTTCTCCATGTGCGTCCCGCTTGTGTGAACGACTTGATTAAGTTGCATTCATCTTTCCTTAAAGCCATCACATTTCACCATGCGCATCACGGTACGGTTACTCCCGCGGACTTGAGGGAGTTTCTTCCTAGTGTTGAGCGGTTGTGGAAGAAGCGGAAGGTCGTGGTGAAGGATCTGCAACGGTTACTATGGATTTGGGAGCAAGACTCGGAAGCCACGGGGCTCAACTACCGGATTGCTAATTATGGATTGGGAAAGATCTGTTTGGAACGTGTGCGTCGCGAACAGTGGGCAATCGACGATAATGAATTGCAAGAACAGTTTGAGCAAATTGTCGACTTACTATGGGAGAAAGCTCTGGATGTCGTTAATGGTGATGAAAGTCAGGTGGATTTTATCGCAACGCTGGGTGTTTCGTCCATCTACGAGTCGCTTACACCATTCACGAACTTTCGGAAAGGCCAGCAGCGGTTGCAGGATTTGAAGGGCGGAGTCATCAAAATGAAAATGGAGAAGCTTAAAGCAGCGCCAGTGGAAGAGTCGCCTGGGAAGACACCCGAAGCGACGAATGCTCGTCGCACAGGACTTCTGGATCGGATCAGAAGCAAGGCTCTCCGTCAGTCGAAATTACCGCCCCCTCCGTCAAAGGAGATGCTGCTTCGTCGTGCTGCTGTTGAACGCATTGAGGAAGTCGCTGGTGTGCTGGCTTTGCTGAGGCCAGCTGGTTATGTGGGTAGTGGGCCAACAGCTACTGTGGCTGCCCAGAGGAAGCCGTTCCGTCTAGAGATGATTGTACAGAACGTTCAGGACTCATCGAAGAATCCTATTTCAGAGAAAGAGGTGGAAATTTGCTTGGAAGTGCTGGCTCGGCCCGACATTGCTGGACAATGGGTCGATTTCGTCACCGTGAATCATATCAAATCGGTAGTTCTAAAATCTTCCGCTGATATCAACCTCAAGGATATCGGTGCGAAGGTGCTCGAACTGAAGTTTGATGAGAACGAGCCTGCTTCAATCTCAAAACCCTAATCAATACCTTTACTGTTTAATGTGTGTTTTGGATGTCTGGTGTTGCTGGGTTGGATACCCCATCTGTGGAGTTTGATACACATGTCTTTATTGGCACTCATGTAGCATCTGTTAGCGTTGCATCTATCATATACCATTTTAGCTATTAGGAAATACATATCAACATTGCTGAACATGAAGCACTTCATTTCATATGTGTAGGCCTTTTTTGGACCTGTCACATTGTAGAGTTACAATGGCTCCTATGATTGGCCAATATTTCAATATATCGCGAACGCGACAGCACGTGACCGCGTTGCCACGGAGCGCGTCTCTGGAATTATCGAAATAGATCACCGCTGGCGCAGCTCATGGTCAGTCTTCCATTCATCTTTGTTGGAGACTAACTGACAAGATGTCTTCTCGCCCAGAACTTAAGGTAATTGAATAAAGCAACCCCTCTCTCGAACATTCAATAACAATTTTCCCTGTTCCAGGTTGATGACGAAGTCGGCTTCATTCGTTTTTACCGTTCCCTCGCAGCAGACAGCAGCGATGAAACTATCCGCGTTTTCGACCGTGGTGACTGGTATTCTGCCCATGGTGCAGAGGCAGAGTTCATTGCTCGCACCGTGTACAAGACTACCTCTATACTCCGCAACCTAGGTCGCAGCGACTCCGGAGGCCTTCCCTCCGTCACCATGAGCGTGACTGTCTTCCGCAACTTTCTCCGCGAAGCTCTCTTCCGACTCAACAAACGCGTTGAAATATGGGGCTCTGTCGGCACGGGCAAGGGCCATTGGAAGCTGGTAAAACAAGCTAGCCCAGGAAACCTCCAAGACGTGGAAGAGGAGCTGGGCAGTGTTGGTGGATTATCCATGGACTCGGCTCCGATTATCTTAGCGGTGAAGATCTCGGCCAAGGCCGCGGAGGCTAGGAGTGTGGGAGTATGCTTTGCGGACGCAAGTGTGCGGGAGCTCGGTGTTAGCGAGTTCATGGATAACGATATCTATTCCAACTTTGAGTCGCTTATTATCCAGCTCGGGGTCAAGGAGTGTCTGGTCCAGATGGATGCTAACAAGAAAGACGTTGAGCTAGGGAAGATCCGAACTATTGCTGATAGTTGCGGGATCGCTATCTCTGAGAGGCCGGTGGCTGACTTTGGTGTTAAGGATATTGAGCAGGATCTGACGAGGCTGTTGAGGGATGAGCGGTCAGCTGGTACTCTGCCCCAGACAGAGTTGAAGCTTGCTATGGGTTCGGCATCTGCGTTGATCAAGTACCTTGGGGTTATGTCTGACCCTACGAATTTCGGCCAGTACCAACTCTATCAGCATGATTTGTCTCAGTTTATGAAGTTGGATTCGTCGGCGTTGCGTGCTCTTAACCTTATGCCTGGTCCGCGGGACGGATCGAAGTCTATGAGTTTGTTTGGCTTATTGAATCACTGCAAGACCCCTGTCGGTAGCCGGTTGCTTGCGCAGTGGCTGAAGCAGCCGTTGATGGATCTGGCGGAGATCGAGAAGAGACAGCAGCTTGTTGAGGCTTTTGTTGTCAACACGGAGCTGAGACAGACTATGCAGGAGGAGCATCTTCGCTCCATACCGGATCTGTACAGACTGGCGAAGCGGTTCCAGCGCAAACAGGCAAACCTGGAAGACGTTGTGCGGGTGTATCAAGTTGCCATTCGTTTGCCTGGCTTTGTCAACTCTCTTGAGAATGTGATGGATGAAGAGTATCAGACGCCTCTGGAGACGGAGTATACTTCCAATCTCCGGAGTCACTCCGATAGCTTAGCGAAACTGGAGGAGATGGTTGAGACTACGGTTGATCTTGATGCGCTGGAGAACCACGAGTTCATCATCAAGCCTGAGTTTGACGAGAGCCTGCGGATCATCAGGAAGAAGCTGGACAAGCTCCGTCATGATATGGGCGTTGAGCACCGTAGGGTAGCTCGGGACCTTGACCAAGACATGGAGAAGAAGTTGTTCCTGGAGAACCACAGGGTGCACGGATGGTGCTTCCGACTTACTCGCAACGAGTCGGGCTGTATTCGCAATAAGAGAGAGTACCAGGAATGCTCTACACAGAAGAACGGCGTCTATTTCACTACGTCGACTATGCAAACACTTCGCCGCGAGCATGATCAACTGTCCTCAAACTACAATAGAACTCAGACCGGCCTGGTGAATGAGGTCGTCAACGTCGCTGCGTCCTACTGCCCTGTCCTGGAACGACTTGCTGGTGTCCTAGCACACCTCGATGTCATTGTAAGCTTCGCTCATGCTTCTGTCCATGCGCCGACCCCCTATGCTCGGCCCAAGATGCACCCACGAGGTACCGGAAACACAGTTCTCAAGGAAGCGCGGCACCCCTGTATGGAAATGCAGGATGACATTTCATTCATCACCAATGATGTGGCTTTGGTCCGAGACGAGTCCTCCTTCCTGATCATTACTGGACCCAACATGGGAGGTAAATCGACCTATATTCGCCAAATCGGTGTTATCGCTCTCATGGCTCAGACGGGCTGCTTTGTGCCTTGCACGGAAGCAGAATTGACCATCTTTGACTGCATCCTTGCACGTGTCGGTGCAAGTGATTCGCAGCTCAAGGGAGTGTCCACTTTCATGGCTGAGATGCTTGAAACATCCAATATTCTCAAATCGGCAACGTCCGAGTCTCTTATCATCATCGACGAGCTTGGGCGCGGTACAAGCACATATGATGGATTCGGCCTAGCATGGGCCATCTCTGAACACATCGTCACAGAGATTCGCTGCTTCGGCCTTTTCGCTACTCATTTCCATGAACTGACGGCTCTCGCCGATCGATACCCCAAGTCTGTCAAGAACCTGCACGTAGTCGCCTTCATCGGCGATGGTACCGATGACGACAGTGAAGATAAGAAATCCAAGCGGAACCAGGTCACTCTCCTGTACCGTGTCGAACCTGGCATTTGTGACCAGTCATTCGGTATCCATGTTGCCGAACTGGTCCGCTTCCCAGAAAAGGTGGTCAACATGGCCCGTCAGAAGGCAGAGGAGCTTGAAGACTTTACTTCCTCAGAACAGCAAGGCCAGCAATCATCCATGGCGATCGATAGGTACTCGCAGGAAGAAGTTGAGGAGGGCAGTGCCCTTCTCAAAGCGATGTTGTTGAAATGGAAGGCGGAGACTGAGTCCTCTGGTAAGGAGTTGACGGTGGAAGAGAAGCGACAGATCATGCGTGATCTCGTCAAAGCAGATGAAAAGCTGCAAGCAAACAAGGTCTTCCAGGGCATCAAGGCTTTATAGATTAGTATTTGCGTCTTTTTTTTTTTCTCGGGGTCCTAGCGGTTCGGCGTTTGGATGGGATCAATCTGTGTATGTGTGACCTACGGCTATGAGGATAAAATGTGTAGGGAATAATGCTATCCCAAAATTTCCAGTGATTGTTTCTTTGTACATATTGCTTAGGTTAAAGTGAATGCATTTCCATTTAACTACATTTATCTACATCGGTCACGTGGGACCGCGGAGGTCTAGACGCTCCACCGGGATAGTATTCTTAATCTATAAGCGCATCGTCTCCAGTCCTCACCACAATCAGCCAGGGTTTACCAGTTGTCCTAACATTTTGGTCTCGCAAGTTTCGTCGCCTTCCTTGAGCGATCGTCATTCCTTCAGTGCAATCTCGGACCAGTGAACCCGCCACTCCCTTCTTGATCCTTGGTTTTAAGAGCTATGCGCGCAAACTAAGGTGATACCCGCCGAACCACCGTATTTCATGCACCCCTTTTCTATCCTTACACTCGGCATCTTCGTCGCGGGCTACATCACCGCAAGGTGGGACCTCGTTACTCGTTTATATGAACTGGCTATATTTGCTTGGGATCACGGCGTTGTGGTACGTGTTGCTTGCCAGCCCCTCTCTATCTTTTACCCACCGCGGGATACTTGTTCGGCTCCGTCGTACGCGCGGCCCGGGCCTGACTTCCATTACACGGCATTGGTGTCGCATGGACTGATTCTCATATCCAAAACAGACACGAACAGCGAAGGGATTTGTACTTCTGTCTATTTTTTACTTTCTACTTGTCCTCCCTATCAGCTACCTGGCTGCGAAAGAAGGCGAATTGGTATGCGACACACATCGATTGAATCAAGCCCGCAATCCAATGGAGCGAGAAACCTGCCTGCGAACAAAAACGAAGCTAATATGTCTAATATCAGCACCCCCGATACGTCAACCTGGGCGTATCTGCCCGAGAACAGTTACGCCGCCGCGGCTCCTTTTAATCACGCCTGAAGGATGACAACATGCTCATGAGCGATGGATTGTTGCGGGTATTTTGGCCATACGACCTCCCTCGGTCGTCGTCACAGGGCGTGATTGTCGGGTGGAAGAATTCGGAGCTCGACTTGTTCGTGCTGACGGTCTTGGAGGATGTCGAGGTGAGCCGACGCATTGGTTGGCTTTCATACGGTCTGCTGGTGGGATACTGACAGGCCTTGCGTTTACTAGCCTCGGAATGTCGACAATGCCCTGCGTGCCGGAATCCTTTTTCGCAACAGCCCCCATCCGATTGTGAGGATATTTACGCTCTGTGGCAGATCTGCTATGCATGTGCTGGGGACGACCAATCCACGAGAGCCACCGACAGCGTTTAACCCGTCACACCTCTATGTGAATACGCATCCGTCGTATAAGATTCCTCGGATATATTGTCCGCCCGAGACGAGTGTGTCTGTTCAGGTTATCATGTTTCATCGCCCCCATCCTACCCGAATGGAGTATATGTCGCTAGAGCCGATTTCTCTTGCTCTTGGCGACAAGGTGATTGCTGCGGACAAATCCGATTCGGTATCCGACAAGATCGATACAGAGGAGGAACGGGATAAGGCTCAGTCTCAGAAGTTGGTTGAAAAACTTAAGCTTCATACGGTCGTTAAGCATGTCCCATCGCACAAAGAGCAGGCACTGCCCCTCATAATCAACCAAGTGAATTGCGCCTACGAGATGGGAAAGCTCATGGAAAAGAATAGTCACCTGATTGGGATTCGTGTCAAGAGGAGTATGAGCGTTGGTGAGCGAGTTGTCGAATCTGCAACGACCCTGTGGGATCTTTTTGTCCTTGGTGTTTCCTATGTGTTCTGGCAATGGGTTTGGCCTGTCATCACTCGGGTCTTCGTCATCGGTCTTGTGTTCCATCGGACAATTGCGGAGATCGTTCTCCAGGTTCTAGAGTGGCGCGCTCGGCCCGATGCAGCAGCTTTGAAGGATATATCAGCAACGGCCCAGCAAGTTGATATTCGGCTCCAACAGTTCTGCTATTGGCCCATTCAGTACGTCAAGCTGCGGCAGAGGAAGGATAACTGGGAGAGTGTGACTACTAGCCATCCTGACTATATCCGGTTTTACAACAGTCTATGGCTTGTTGCGAACGACGTGATTATCGGTATAGCGTTGGGTTCCTACATCATTGATAATGCGAATTGGGTGGCTTTGCAAATCAACTCTATTCTTACTGGCTGGACTGTGGAAGGATTACAACGTACCATCTCTTGGCTGATGGACTGGCCAGCAGGTTTGAAGTTGAATAACGAGCTCGCCGCTTTTCTGGGCGATCTGTTCCTGTGGGTAATAGAGAATTGGGCTGGTAAGGCTTTCCCCCGTTTGTTTTCCTCCTTCAGCTAACCAAGAAAAGCTTTCATTGCAAATCTACAGCCTTACCTTCCTCACGTTATATATGTTGTTGGGTGCTCTAGCTTTGCGGGCGCCAGCATGCCCATTGCCCTCTTCTCAGATCTCGTGTCTATACTGACTGTGCACATTTACTCGTTTTATATCGCCTCGGCACGCATCTTCAACTGGCAGCTGACTATCATCATATCCCTATTCCACTTGTTCCGTGGTAAGAAGCGGAATGTGCTGCGCAACCGTATAGATTCGTGCGATTACGATCTAGATCAACTCCTGATTGGGACAATCCTGTTCACCGTGCTCTTCTTTCTCCTTCCAACCATCATCGTTTTCTACCTGGCTTTTGCAACCGCTCGGATGTCAATCATCTCAGTGAAAGCGGCACTTGATACATGTCTGGCATTCTTGAACCACTTCCCACTCTTCGCCTTAATGCTGCGGGTCAAAGATTCCCGGCGACTGCCAGGTGCGTTCTTACACTCTCACATGGCTGGTTATCAGGCAATACATAACTGACCCGAAATCGCAGGCGGCATTCACTTTGAGCTCCGCGAAGAGCACGGCAAGTCATCAAACTCCGACTCGACTTCCAAAGTACCTTACATCCATCTCGAGGTATGCCGCTCCATACCTACTGTCACTCTATCTAGAACCATCCACACCCTTGGAAGTAATACTCAAACTAACCGAACACTAGTCAATACCCCTAACTCTTCGTGCCATGTTCGACCAATACTTCCAACTAGGTCATCGGCTCCGAGCACACTATCTTTCGCCGCGCGTGATCTTCTGCCTGGTAACAGGCCGCTTCGTGCCCCCAATCCACCGCCGCAATCTCTACAGTATGCAATATAGTATGCTTCCTGCTCGTCGGGCCGGAATGGCCGAGGTGTGGTCCTTGTTGACCCAGCCTCGTAAAGCCAATAACGGTAGCGGCGGTTCCTCTACTATGGTCGGGGGGATGGGCGCAACGGCGAATGGGTTACTCAAGGTTCCGGGCGGGTTCGGTCAGGGTGATATGAGGAGACGAGGACATCGGTGATGTGACATTATCTGTTGTCTCTGATTGATGAGATTTTGAAATGAGTTTATGCGTGTTTATGCACATAGATATAATATAATCTAATTTCAGTACTACTCATTATGTGATTTGGTCTCAGGTTGAGTTTATTGTTCGATTCTCTGTATGGTTCAAGTAACATATCCATTCTCATGAATCGCTCGCAAATCATCCCCAGGGTAGATCACCCTTCTCTCCCTGACGTCCCATACCACGCTGAATACTCTACTTCCCGAATACAACGAGTCACATCAATCATATCAATTGAAAAGTCGCTAAATGATGTATGGTCTGAGAAATGATCTAGTTTACATATGTATAAAAGTACATGAGAGGGGAGAACGTGTTAGTACAGAATTAAGTTGAGGTGAGACTTTCTGAACAAGCCATCGTAGATATTGTCGCACACATGAAGCCTTAACAACTGGCGTGCAAAAGATTGGCTTTTCCAAGAATCAGCGTTAAGTTGCAAGAGGTCCAGTCAATGAGCTTCACGACTTATTCCACGTTGAGCTGCAAACCAGCATTGCAATGGAATTTGCGCCGCGTAAGGTTGGCTGCTCATGGCAGGTTAAATCATGATCTGGCCCTTGAAGATGACAATATTTCAGGCCACTGGGCCCATTTGCTTGTTATTAGTCTGTATATGGAGCGGAGATGAGGTATCTATAGCGAAGCTAGATATCAACTCCTCCGATTGTGCTCAGCATCCATCTCGGAGTTACCCTTCCGAACATCTTCCAGCATGGAATCGATGCCTTTTTCTTTTAGCACTTTCTGCCCGAGAAGTTAGTGCACGTCATGAAGTACGGGCTGGTGATATGTTACATTTAAGCATGTCTTGTATTTAGAGAATAGTTCTTCGCAGTCATTGGATGTTGTATTACCACGAAGGTATTCTGTTTTTGTAAGCTTTGAAGATATGCAGAAGTGTTTTAACGGGAAAAACTCACTTTCACTGTACCATTTGAGAAAGCAGGTGTCATATCTCCTGGTCACAGTTAGCTGCCATAGTAGATTTAGGCGGAGCTTAGGTGGAAACTACTCTTTGATATCATTGCATTCGGGTGCTATAGAGGCAGACATGATGGATCTTGATAAGTAGAAGTCTGCACAAGGATGTCAGAAGGCGCTTTTGCTTTTCCGTGTCTATGGCTGGAATAGTGAGGCGAATAGGATAAGTAATGATACGCCAGCAAGTAAATGAGAATGATCATCGCCGCTGTACCCTTCTAGTCCGATTTCAGTAGGCGGTCAGCAGTCCGCCGGCGTCAGCATTTCTCCACCTCCGAATTTTTCCTTTTTTTTCTTTTTTTTGTATGAACTAAAAGTGATTATTGGTTAAACACGACTGCCAGGCGCAAACAATCTTGCCCTGTCTGTTTTTTCATTACCATATCAGCTCTGTATTTGTCATAAAACAGGATACTTGGAGCTAAATCACAATGGATTCCGCAGCAGACTTTCCGCCGTTCCAGCAGCAGCTAACGTCGTCGCTCGTGCAGATGACGCGCACTGTTGGCCAGCTCTCTGCTGAAGATCTCAGTTTTCACCGCACTTCAAGCGCGGAGCTTTCTGAGTCCATCGATGAACAAAGCGGCAGGATTCTTTCACTAACCTCTTCTCTCTTGAAAGCCGCCACAGTCGGTACCGATTTACCCGCGCCGACCCTGCAGGATGAAGACTCTATCGAAGACAATTGGCGCGGTGTGGTGGATGTTATTGATGCTCTTTTGGAAAGAGCGGATGCTTGCTTGGATGAATTTACCGGTGTAATTAAAAGACTGAGCCCATCGCAGCAAGAACAGAGTGCACCCAAGGCTACAAAGAAGACTACTTCGAAGTTTCCCACCATTTACGATTACGGCCCGTCGAAGATCCCGAAGCCTCAGCTGCATTTTGAGCGTCAAGTCGATAACGCCGATGTGTCGCCTTTCAAGCCATTGCTCAGAACTAAACCGCATGCGGTGGTTCCGTTGGAGAAATCCGTTGAATCGTCGGACCCTGCGACAGGTTTTAGAAACCCGTATGAGCCCGAGATACGCGCCGCAAAGTATCCAGAGTCTACCTACACTGTGTCACCTCCCGTTCCTTATCAGCCTTGGGAGTCGACAGCCGCAACTTTCGTGGATACCTTGGAAGGAGTGAAGGATATGTTGAAAGAGCTTAAATCTGCGAAGGAGATCGCTATCGATCTAGAGCATCACGATGTGCATTCCTATCAAGGTCTTGTTTCTTTGATGCAGATCAGTACTCGCGATAAGGACTGGGTGGTCGACACGCTGAAACCGTGGAGGGAGGAGCTTCAGATGCTTAATGAGGTTTTTGCGGACCCTAGCATCCTCAAAGTGTTCCACGGTTCGTCCATGGATATCATTTGGCTTCAACGCGATCTAGGTCTCTACGTAGTTGGCATGTTTGATACATACCACGCTGCTTGCGCTCTGAATTACCCCAAGCGGAGTTTGAAGTTCCTTTTGCAGAAGCTGGTCAACTTTGAAGCCGACAAAAGGTACCAAATGGCCGACTGGCGAATTCGGCCGATTCCAGAGGGCATGTTTGACTACGCCAGATCCGATACCCACTACCTTCTTCACATTTTCGATCACTTACGCAACGAACTCATTCAGAACTCAACGCCCGAAAACAACCTCATCGACTACGTCTTGGAGAAGTCAAAGGACGAAGCTCTGCAACGTTTCGAGCGCTCTCCTTATGATGCTGCCACAGGTCAAGGACAAGGTGGCTGGTACGACTACTTATCACGCAATCCCGCGGTCCTGAGCAAGGAGCAATTTGCCGTCTTTAGAGCAGTCCATCAATGGCGTGACGCAGTTGCGAGAGAGGAGGACGAAGGCGTGCAGTGTGTCTTCCCTAAGCACATCCTTTTCAAGGTTGCCCACGCTATGCCTCTGGACCTGGGGACATTGTTCCGGACACTGTCACCAGTGACACCCATCGCCAAGGACAGAGCCGCGGACCTCCTGGAGGTCATCAAAAACGCGAAAATTGAAGGCGCCGACGGCCCTGAATGGCGTGATGTGTATGTGAAGCCGACAAAGACGGGGCGATCTGTTCCAGCGACGGAAACCGAACAGGGTCTTGTGACGCCACCTATGGGTGAGGAGAACTTGCCTACTGCTGCGCGCTGCGAGGTCTCCCAGTTCTGGGGTGCAGTGTTGGACTCTCGGGAACCCCTTACTCCTCCCGAGTACTCCGCCGTCGCCTCTGCAGAAGCCCTCCGACTGTCGCTCCCGCTGCCACCCATGCCTCGTACGGTATCTGAAGCTCGCGACAAGCTTGCTGGCTCGGCTGCTGCCAAGCCTGCGCCTCCCAAACCTACCCCAGCTCCTATTGAAGCACCAGAAGAAAAGGAGGAGAACAAGATCTTCACAGTCAAAGGGCTTGGTGGCCCGCGCAAACGGAAGAGCGAAGAAGCTCCGTCGCCAGAAGCTGATGAACCCAGCGATGTGATACACATCGGGGAGAAACCGTCCAAGAAACAACGCCGGAAGGAAAAGAAGAACAAATCTGCGTCGCAGACTCCGCAGCCCGAGGAAGAGAAGGAAGAAGCTGAGCCCTTCAACTATGAGGCCGCTGCCTCCGTCCTGCACGCAAAGCCAGCCCAGACCGCCTCACTTCACAAGAAACGACCATTCAACCCATACGCGAAGGCGCTTGAGGCACCCAGTGGAGTGCGCAAGCAGAAGCGTGAGACCCCCGGCAAGTCATTCACTTTCAGGTGATCACATTAAAAATAGATATCTTCGTCTGGTCTTATGTACGGGAGATTGGTTGCACTGGTATAAAATGTTTTGAGTACATAACGATACCCGATTAGTTGGAGAAATAACGAAATCGAAGGCATTCATTAGAGTCATCGTCATAGTGTCTGGTTCTACTATAAAATCATTTGCGTATTTCTCACACTTCTTAACCATAGCGAATTCTCTACACAGAATTAATAGAGCCTTTAAGAACATGGATCAACCCACCTACAAAACGGCTATCTTCCAGATGAGAAACACTCAATAGTCTTCCAGACTGCAAAAATGCAACCTCAGATTCAGTATGGGCTTTGCCCAGCCCACACCACGAACCCTACAACGCGCCACCTGCTTAACACAGATGTTACCTTTCAAACCTCCCATCAACCACACCCCTTATCATAACGAGGTATCAGCCCCAAAACTACAGAGAGTACAGCCCATGCCAGTTCAAAATCATACCACTCGAAGTTTTCTCTTTCTCATCTCACACTACCAAGCTATATATGTACATATAAACCAAGCCACTAGACTATATCCAATATCATACGAAGAACAAAGTCGGCAGAGACCCCTCCCTCAATCTATACATGCCTTTTCCCAGAAAATTTTGAATCAATCAACAACTTGTAACAAAGATATACACATGTAATACATGAAGCAAACAGAATGAGAACCAACCCCCTTCCCTTCCTCGAAGACTGAATCTTCTTCCCCCCCCCCAAACACAAAAAAAAACCTCCACCTACGACCGAGCCAAGGTCTTGCGCCGCTGCTTAACCATGTACTTATACATCATAGGGGTTCCTAACAGCAATCCATTAGACAAGCCAGCTACTAATACCAAGAATGACACATACCCGGCACATAAAGCACAAGAAAGAAATAGAAGATGCCAGCCACGACGAGACTAGACGTAGCATTTGCAGCATGATACATTAACCACCATTCGCTGCTGATTCCGACAGGATAGAGGACGAAGAAAAGTGAATATCTATTATCCATTCATTTGTGTTAGTTGAAATCCCCCAACCCGGGGGCTATGGCCCGGGGGTTCGTTAGTTTAAGTATGGGATGTGAAAAAGAACTCACCTTAGCCATTTCAACGCAGCAGGTACCGATATCCCGGCTAGCATTACTACGAAGTAAGAGTACCTGACGGTATCTGCTGCAGACCAGGCGAGTAGCATAGCCGGGTAGGCCCAGGAATGGGCGGTGACAGCTGGGAAGGCATAGTTAATGGCCCAGACTTGTACGCTGCGGCCGAATACTTGCGTGAAGGTTGTGAAGACGGGGCTTCGGGTGATTCCTGCCCCATTCCCCTCCCCACGGGGGTTGTTAGTATAAATATACTTGATATACTGGGGGTTTTTTTTTTTTTTTTTTTTTTTGGAGGATGAGGTAGATAAGGTTGGATTAGGTCTTACCGGCAGCGGAGTGGAGAATCTCTGCGACTGCTAGGGTTTGCGTCCATCGGGTCCAGGGCTCGAGAGTTGTGTATGTCGATGCGGGGTCGGGGGTTGTGAGGACGGTGAGGAGGATGCGGAGCCAGAGGATTGTGGATATGGCATTGTAGAAGAGTAGGTAGGCTCTTTTTGGGGAGAGGGGTTCTTGTTTAGGAGACATGGTTATCTAGTTGTTTCTTGCGCTTCTATTGGAATTGGGGTTGATTTTTTTTTGGACGCTGGAGAAAATCTGGGGTTGAAGATAATTGCCTAATTGGTCAATGCGTTGAACTAGATTACTTGGTCGGCCACTGCTTTGTCAGCACTTTTTTAAGGACGCTCTTGTGGCTTATGATGGTTGTACGGGATATCTGCATGGTTCCTTTTCTATAGTAGATTGGTTTTTGTTGGTTGTATACTAGGGGTTGATTGGGATAGTGGAATATTGGCATATCCATAATCATGCATTGTCTGGCGATTGGTTAAATCCCCGTGTCATGAATACATACGGATAGATCTATAAAGGCCGTGCCCCCTAAAAGGGGCAGATCCCTTAGAATTATGGATACCCCAATCTCCCGGCCCCAAAGTGCCCGAATGACTGCCCCTTCTTGTAGTCGAGCTCAGGGCTGTCGACGTAGGGCTATTTCGTGGTATGGTCCCTTGTGGAGGCCTTAATATTGTGGGAGCTTCTTTCAGTTGTTCTTTATGCTTGTTGATCAATTTGGGGTTGCATTTTTCTTTCTAGAAGACTTCAAGTAGTTTCTGTGTTCTACCAGTCCAGAACTCCGGTAAAGTCCTACAAAGAAAAACTTACAAAGGAAACTAAGTGCGAGCGTTGAACTAGCATTCTCCTTTATGGCCAAGTAACTTGAACAGGCCGGGCCAGATCGGTGGGCAAACGGCGATCTTCACTATCGATAATGAAGACTATTAAGCCTAGAGCTCCCCAGCTAGAATTATACCGCGCATAGGAGCTATCGGGCACGAGGCCCTGTCAGGCCGAATGCTGGTCAGTGTTGCCAAGAAGCTCAGCTCACTGGAAAACTCCAGACGCCCGGCACAAAAGGTTGACGCGGCGCGCCTATACCGTATTTGTATCTAGGCATGGAGGATCAGTTGAATTCTGTGAAGAATAATGCCCAAGGGAAAAGCGATAATGGGTCCAATATAGGAACGTACCACCATAAGTAGTAGGTTAAGGCCGCATAGGGCTTAGACCGTTGAAGTTGGAAATCTCGGTGACGCCGAAGCGGATCGTAACACGAAGTGTCTTTCCCTTGGAAGAACGGAAAGTATACTATAAGAGTTCAACTATAGGGACATCGATTTATGCCTAACAACTCCCTACGGGCCCTAAATGACCTCGTTGACAAACGAAAAGCTACCCGTCCCGTCAGAAGGTGATTAGTTACACCTCTCGTTTGCCCTTCAGGTTTCTACTATCAAGAAAAAGGTGCACGTTACGTAGTAGTATGAGTAGCATAACCATAATCGAACCCGCTGACGAAGAACTAGCTTATCAGTACTTAATCCCTGATGCACCCAACGCTGTTAATTTAGACTTAACCTGCATTACAGGGGGTGTCAGCTGGGGGCCCGTCCAGGGTGGAGACATTTGCGATGACTAGCTTCTCCGGTGTATGCAATTGATGAGCAATTAGGCTATCCCCCGACACCAGACAGAGGCCGATCGGCATGTCCCCTAACTTGACTGGAGAGATTGCTGGGTGGAAGAACCGTTGAGGTATTTGCTACGGGGAGGAGGTCCGTGGGTTCTGCACGATGGGCAAGAAGATGCGGTGTGTGATTTGGAATAATGCCTCAAAATGGTCGATTGGTCTAGATGTTGTGCTTACCCTTTCTTTCCATCAGCTTGGGGAGGGGTGGTGAGATAACGAGCTTATAAATCGTTCTGCTGAAAGGATCAAAGAAGGGCTGTGTGTCACGATCGTCTCTTTTGCCATGGATCTGGTATCCTATCAGAACAAGGGTACCGTACTCCCGAGACTTGGCCTATCCAGGTACCACACATAGTATGGAGAATGTAGAGTCATGATTCATGCATTTTAATACCGTCGTGGTGGAGGGCGAGGGCGCGTGTATGCGGAATACGAGATGTTCCACGGGTGAGGTTCGGGTGGTCTGGAGCTGTCTGTGCTCACCCAGCTTGCATGCGAACTGTCCTGTCACTATACCCTTCAGTATGAAGATGGATACGGAGTATGTCCATACACGGAGGTCTACTTTAGCTTAGAGTATGCCACTGCGGTAGAAGGTGGACAGAGGCCGATCCGAGAGAAACAGGGAAAAGATAGTCCCGACTATGGAATCCAAGCTAAAGTCTGACAGGAGAATGTTCAATGAACAGCTGACCACTGTTACGTATGTACCCCGGACTTTGAGTAAATTGACCGGGTTTAATCCCCGTTGGATTTGCATCTTCTAACCACCTGACTCCTGAAACATCTGTGCGGTTGACAATTTACGTGCATGGACGCTAGTGGCCTTTTAGTCTCTCAGGAACGGAGAGTCCATGATGTAATGGATTGTCGGTCTCCTTTTTGAGACAACCGGCGTGATTGGAAGCGGATGATGGTGGACGGGGTTTTGATGGCGTCGTATGAACTGATTATCCTCCCTTAATTCTAACAAGGTAGTAAGTAGTACTCACTCAGTATACCTATCCTTGGATTGACAATCCTATTCTCCCCTGTAGAAAAAGGAAAAAAAAAAAAAAAAAAGATCTATCCAAGAATTGATTAGGGTGATAGGGGATTTTGAATGTAAAATACCTATCTAGTTAGTACATTCAACCAACTAAACCGCATTGAGGCAGATGCAGCGGGCGAGCGGATTGAATGATTTAATTCGACGCAGGTACCAGACATGAGCCTGGACGCTAAGGGCTCCTTGTATGAGCGGTCTAAAGTTTCCCGTCCTCCCTTATGAGAAGCAGAGAAGAGAAAGTGTGGTTTCATCCCTACTACGGGGAATCTATGGATGCGTCACAGTTGTTGATGATTTTTATTTTTATTTTATTTTATTTTTTTTTTGTCTCACCTCCACTGTGGCCTATTCTGTACAGATGTACAATGTAAGTCTTGAGAATCTAGAGAAAAGCCTCCTTATACCTAGTGGAGCTGGGTTGTAGCGTGGCCTCCGTTATCAGTGATGGATGAACCTGTGGGTCATCCTGGAATGATCCATGATTTCATCCAACCAACAAGGGAGGGGTGAGGTGACCAATAACATTGAATGACTATAGCACACGAGGCAAATGCAAGACTCCTGACCAGACGAAACCACAATCAAGGAGGACAATACCTGCATATGACAGTCTGTTATGGAAAATCCCGCTTAACTGACATAGTACTAGTCACATACTCCAGGGGGATACTATTAAGTATACCTCAAACTGTCAATCACGCAGTTGGTCTGTGAAACAAGGTTAAACTGTGAATCATTCCCAACTTTCCTTGGCTTTGATAGCCGCCGCAAGCACCGATTTATTAGCTAACAGTAGAAAAATTAATTAATTAACCTACAAGAAAAGAGGGCGAAGAAGTTCCGTCATCACCGTTGCGTGTGCAGCATCAAATCGGAGACCCAAAAATCCACCGCACTTCCCCCCCTGTCCTCCCGATGAGTGGCAAGATTTGATTTGGTTGGGTTCGGTTGCAGTGTAACTGGAACAGGGGGTAGAATAGATGAAGGGAACTCGAAACGTCTTGCATCGCTTAGTAAAAATTTTTTATTTAGAATTTTTTTTTCTATCTAGCTTAGTTTGATTTTTCTCTTTCATTCTTTTTATTCATGTAAAATTCTTCTTCTGGCAGGATTACTATTATCAGCAAGCAACACGTATGTACGGAGTACTTGGTCCATACCAGAAAAAAAAGAAAAAAAGAAAAAAGAAAAAGGAAAAAGGGTACAATGACCATTTAGCCAAGACCGACTACACACTTTACTCCATACTCAACTAACCGACTAACTAAAGACACTAATCACTCTAGCTATGTCCAGCATGTGGCTCCGACCCAGTCCCAAGGTCGGTATCTACCTACTACTTACCCGATGGAGCAATTCCCCTTGCGTCCACATCCTGTACTGCACTTTGAATATCACACACCCTCTCTCTCTCTTGCATACATACATACATACATCGTCCTCTTACGCCTGGGGAAAGGAATTAATCGGAAGATGATCGTCCGAATCCATTGTCTTACTGAGAAACATATTGCATGGCTTTCGGAACTTGGCAGGATTCTTTTGTCTTTGTCAATTTTTATTGTTGTTATCCTGACTTAGGTAACTGGAATTAACTTTGGGGGTTATTCAGTCCAAATCAGTTCAAGCATAAAACGTGTTTGCATTCGGAGAAACGCGATAGACATAAGATGATATCCATGGAGATCCAAATTCTTGATGAAAGGGGAAAAAGAAAAAAAAAAAAAAGGTAAAAAATCACAAATCACTGGGACGAGACTAATTACTCCATATTTCGTATAGGTCAATAGTGTTATACACGGAAAGCAAAACTCAATTAGTGAGCTTTTCTCCACTGCGACATATTAAGACTTCAAGGTTAAGATTCCAAAGCACTGACTGACAGTGTTGGCTATTCTTCTGGACAGTGAGATTACAGTACTCTGCGGTGTAGTCCATAATAATTTCTCGTATGGGGATCGACGGCAAATGTGGAATCCTAGAAAGGAATGTGTTCAGGTACAGGGATTGATTAGTGTCGATGGGTCCTGGGGTGAGTGAAGTGGAGAGCGCAAAGTATAGACACATTACCATTCAGAAATTTTCTATAGATCAGAGAAGAGCACAGAAAAATACAAAGAAAATGGTAAAAAGAATAATAAATAAATAATTCGATCAAGTAATATGCCAGATGCATATGTATGTCTATACACCATACCTACATATGTAGGTACTAGGTACAGGATTCTTAGTACTTTTAAGGTACCTTCAAGGCGCTAGGGTTTCCTGTTCCTGTTTGCTGCAAGTCACGGAAGCGCAACTCCACTGGCTTCCGATCCCTAACGCCCCAAAGGTAACAAAAAATTGTTTTTTTTCCTCCCCCCTCAATACTTTCTTTCTTTTTCTTTTCCCTTTTTTTTTTTTTTTTTTTTTTACCTCTCCCTCAAAATTAAAAAAAATAAAAATAAGAAAATAAAAAAACCACTCTCAGACAGCCAATGCATTCATTCCCCTCTCTAAATCTTGT